TGGCTTATATTGAACATTCCACAGCCTGACTTCACATCGTTGCTTTTGGAACTGAACTAGATTAGCCTACCAGCCCCAAAAAATTGTTGAATTGGCCATGGTCCGGTCTGTTCCATGCACTGGACCATTCTTACATCAAGATATGAAAACTTAAAAGACCCCCTTGATGAAAAGAAATGGCCTAATGTTGGACTGCCTCTTAAGAAGCCTGCCTGGCTTGGGGTGAGTCAAATGCCCTATAGCCATCTATATAGGAAAAGTATTGAAGAGAATTGTTATAAGCAACGATTCAGAACTTCAGATACTTTAGGAATTCTCATGACCAGCTAGTGTCCAATACATTCGTCATTCCTTCCACTCTAGTTAAACCACTTTTGTACAAACATATATTGAATAATTTAAAATTAAAAAAAATTAAAAATTAGGTATTAAAGTGTAGAATTTTCTTTATTAATTACAATGAAATTCATTAAATATAATAACTTCTCGCATGTTAAAATTTGATCAAACAGTATTTTATCTCGAGTTTTAAACATTTTGCTTACTGTGCATAATACATGGGGACGTTAATCTGCAATTACGTGGTTTGAAGAAAGGATTTGCATTTTTATTTCAATTTTCAGCTCTTCTTTTCTATGTGAAAGTTAACGCTGGGTCATACCTTTCAGATATGATCTTTTGCACAATGCACATCTCAATCTAGACGGACTGGATGAACTCTTTAAAGTTGCTCAGGTACATAAACGGATTAAATTATATATTTTCATCATCTTGTTTACATTGTGAGTTTTGTGGTTTAAGGAATTCATCCTCCTCATGAAAACTTCTTTTGTTTTTTGTATTGAACTTGTATACTTTCTGAAGTGTCACTTCTGACTCGTGCAACTGCCAAATCTGAGAACTCATCATGCTGCAAACGAAATATTGTTACTTTTCATCTCCATGAAAATCAACCATGGCTGATGAGTTCCTTTACTTTGCTTGCTTAACTGTTTCTGGCATTGTATTTGCAGGAACTTGCTGATGGTGTAATTCCCAACGAATATGGGATTAATCCAAAGCAGAAGCTGAAAATTGGCTCAAAGGTAAACACCTGCTGTAAGACATCTCATAAAAACATATATTATCCCCAAATCCTTAGGATACTATATCAATACTTCAAACTCTCATCTGATTACTTTGATTTCTGCTGTTTCAATTCAGATTGCTCGTTGTTTATTAGGTAAAATTTTAATTGATCTGAGGAACACTCGAGAAGAAGCCATCAATGTTGCTGAATTAAAGAGTAACCATGATCATCATTCGTCTTCAATGATAACTGAAAGGGAAGATGCTGAGGCTAAGTCAAAACTTTTCCACAAGAATGATGACATAAAAAAATCCAGCACTTTGAATGATTTATCAGTGGATCAAGATGATGATGATGATAAAGAGACCAAATATCGATTGGATCCAAAGTGATTATCTGCACCTTATTTGATTTTTTAGATTATTTTGTCCTATCTTATTCATCATTTCTATTTTCCAACAGGTATGCAAATGTGAAGACACCTGACCGCCATGTGCGGACACGGCTATACTTCACTTCAGTGAGTCACGATGCCTTCATCAGAAAATTGCACTTCCCCCCTTGTGCATATAGGTGTAACGAAACAGATCATTTTAAATTTATCTTTGAATATTGGCTGGGGATTGGATTCATTAAAAGCTTAATTATCTTGCCTTTAGCCTCTTGTCCAAATTCAACTAATATGAATGAAAATTTTGGTTTTCTAGCTTTTTCAAGATGAAAAGAACAGATACAATTTAAAATGTAATCAATCATTATCTGACATTATATATTCATGCTTGCTTAGTGAAGTTTCACTGGTAATTCTGCCTTTTTTTAATTATACAGTACCGATTGATGCGCTTATTTGTAAGTTCTATTATGAATTTCTGGCAAGTCTATTGTGTACTTAACTTCCTTCATGTAAGGTTTTTCTTTTTACAAGCCTATATGTCAAAGGAAGTATCAGCCAAGTAAATTTTATTGAACATTCATGTGCACAATACCTTTCTCTAAGTGCATGCATCCAAGCACTCTGAGTTATACAATTTTTTGTTTCCTATTTGTGGGTGTGATTTCTCTCTAAAAATAACTTTCGACCTTTTTTTTTTCATGTTATTTTTCTGGACAGGAATCACATATCCATTCCCTCATGAATGTTCTTCGTTATTGTAACTTGGATGAATCCCTTCAAGGAGAAGAGAGTCTTGTTTGCCATAATGCTCTAGAGCGCTTATATAAAACAAAGGAGCTGGACTATATGAGCTACATTGTGCTAAGAATGTTTGAGAACACAGAGGTAGTTCATTATATGCGTTTCCCAGTTTGTGACTGTCAGAATAAAAATACTGTTTCATATCTTCAACGCTCTAAGCACATTCTCCTCCTTACGCATATATTAATTTATCAAAAAAGAAAAAGGAAAAGCACAGCAAATGTAAAAGATTAAGTTGTCTGAAGCTTTTTGTCCCATTCTTTTTTTCTATTTTAAGTTGAAATAAATTTTTATTAGGGGAGTAAGGGATGATAACACAAATATGGGTTCAAGAGGTCTTCTTTTGGTATAAGCATGCAAGGAGAATTCCTTGGGTGGATGCTTGTTTATTGCTCATTTTAATTTTCAGAGTTAACTTTGAAATACATGCAATGATATTTGAGATTATTGATATCGGCACAATGAGACTTGTTAAAGGTCTATCTTACCTGTGTGAAAATTGTTAAAGTTCTATTCAACTTTGAGAGGAGACTGATTAAAGTTCCATGTCCTATGCGGAAATTGGAATGCATGTACTGTATGAATCATTGTAGACTTGTAATGTGATTGGTTATCCAATTAAAAGCAATAATCTTTTTAGTGAGATCTTTTCATGATACGTGGACTTCTTAAATTTGTCAAGAGTTATGCTTTGTGTGTAGGGGTGTGTGTGTGTGTGTGTACAGAATCTTTACATTAAACCATCTTTTGACTCTCAAACTGCAGATGGCTTTAGAAGATCCAAAAGGTTTCGCATTGAGCTGTCCTTCAGCCGTGGTGCTGACTTGTCCCCCTTGGAGGTAATGATAACAAATAGTGTAGTTTGGGAGATCTACAGTGGGAAAGGCTTTGAATTTTGTGCATCTTATCTTTACCATATTGGATATGTATGTCTATCTGTGTGTATTGGAATTGAAATCCAATTCTGTGTCAACTAAGCTCCGAGATGCTTATGGCGCCATTTGCTCTGAAGCGTCTTATGAAACTTGCAGTTTCTTAATACCACCTCAACCAGAAGCACCTATTTCTTCTTCTTCTTTTTCGGTTTGGAACGCTGTTCAAAATGCAAATAGTGCCCATTTTTCAATTTGTGTCAGTGGCTTTTTTCTTCGTTCTTTCTTTTTTCAGTTTTTGAACTTGGACATTTCATTTAAATTCTATCCAATGAATATGATAAGACTCCTTAACTTTTCATGGCGAGAGGAGTATCAATTATCAATAGACATCGTAATTTTACATGGCAAGCTTATTTTTCAACAGCTAATATATGTTGGGTTTTATGGTCGCAGAAGGAGGACAGTGAGGCTGTTTCGTTACATCAAGAGCACACCCTTCCTATTATGGGTCCAGAAAGGCTGCAAGAAATAGGATCATATCTCACGTTTAAAAAGATGGAGGAGATGATTCGACCATTTGCTATGCCAGCAGAAGACTTTCCTCCCCCAGCAACGCCCGCGGGATTCTCGGGCTATTTCTCTAAAACTGTACTTGACCGCCTCGCAAATCTTTGGCCTTTTCATAAGCAAGCCCATCATTCCAATGGCAAGTAGCAAGCTGGGAAGTACATCTCCTTCCTCTGCTTATATCTGGTCTCGTTGTGCTTTTAACGTGATGGAAGACATGTTGGAAAACCCATGCGAGCTATTGGCTCCTTTTCATTGGGAAAAAAATTTTGGAATTAGCTGAAAGCATCCGTAGAAAATCAGAAATTAAAGTAGGCTTTATTTCCGTAAATCCTCTCCCCCGGTTAAAAAATAAAATAAAATCGATGATTCATGCCGTTCAAATCATTATCATTTTTTAATTTCTGGATATTTAAAGAAGGCTTCACTTACAGCCTTGGTTTTTTTTTTTTTTGGCTACAACGGCTGTCTTGATGTAAATTTTTTAGTAATGTAAATGATCATGCTCGGCTTTGAGATAACAGATAATAAATTAAATTGAAATTGTTAGATTAGAGATGACGACTTTAACAGATCTGTTCCACTTTCAAACCCTCAATTTTATTACCCTGATTTGTTGTTTCAGTACTGATTTTACGGAGAGAAAACCGAAAAATGTGGCTTTTCTTTCCGCCGTTTTGGGCGCGGCGCGGCCCTCCTCATTATTATAGTGTTTAAGCGGTGCGGATCAACAAACTTGACTCAGTCCGGCGATCAAATAAAATAAACGATCTTCCCCAACAAATAAGTTCAAGCAGAAGTGCCATTTTCTGAATGAATTCTGCCCATTTTGTTTGAACTCTTCTTCAATGTTATGAAAACTAGCGACCATTTAATTGGTGAGAGACACCGATTTATGGTTTAATGATGAGATTGATTATTAATAAGTTAATATATATTTTAATAATGGATTCAGAATCATAAAAAATTACCATTAAATTCAAATAAAAGTAATATATAACAAATAAATAGAAATATCCATCAATACTCCATAGCATTCATTGAAAAAGTGTATATTCATTTTATAATATACATATGTGCAAATTTCTTTCTTATTTGTCCATTGTATTTTATTTTTTCATGTTTATGAGGTACAAATATGCAAATATTATAGCTTATAAACATGAATGAAATTTTAAAAAAAAAACCATACTGCTTATTAAATTTATGAATTAAATACTTTTTTATATTAAAAAGCATACTGCTTATTTTCTTAGAAAATTGAGACTTGAGAATTTCAACGGACATCGTATGGTAAAAAGAATCGCATCCCATTTTCCCTTGATGCCCGCTACCAAATAGGGCAGAAGAAATGTGATATCTCCTGTGGCAATGGAGATATCATTTTAAAATAGTTGAATTAACTAAAGGACAATCAGAATATTGTAAAGCACAGCAATCACGAGATTCAATCCCTTGCCGTGATCGTATTACATGACTAGATTCAAGAGTTCTACCAAATTCATACTTTTATTGGAAACATTACTTAGCTTATAACAGGCGGCATCAAGCGGAGTTCAAGCGGCTCTGAGTTTCTCGACCTTCTTCTCAAGCTCGTCCTTCTTAGCACCAACCACTCTGTCCATCTCCTTCCCCTTCTTCCACAACACAAACGTCGGCATCGCCTGCACCTGGAATTCCCGCGTCACATCCTGATTTTTTTCCAGAGCGATAATCCAAACAGAAATTTGTGAGGATCGAGAAACGAAATTGAGATTATTTGCTGAGTTTAGAGAAGCAAGTAACTTACGGAGAGCTCGTCCACATCGATCTTGACAAATTCAACGTCGGTGAACTTGTCGGCCATGGCGTGGATGGCTGGCTCTATGAACTTACATGGTCCGCACCACGATGCTGAGAAATCTATCACGATCTTCCCTCAATCAACAACCAAATCCAGAGAGATTCAGTGGACCGAGGAAAAAACTCAGAACTCTATATCGCATGTTATTATTCCAGTGAAAAAATAGAAAGCGATGAATAATGAAATAGATATGAGATTGAAAAAAAGAAAGGAATAAGATGAGATATAAAACTCAATACCAGCTGATTGGAATCTTTGACTTCATTGAAATGGAGCTGCCATCGCGCGGAAGAGTGAAACTGCATAACCCGAGAATTCTCTGGCGCTGGAGCATCATCGCCTCCCTCTCCCGCAAGTCTAGAGAAGAATGATCCCATGCTTTGCTTTCAGTCTCTGAAATCGCCTCCTTCGTTGTGCTGAGATTGACGCCGAGGACCAAATGCAAAAGGCGTATTTCTCTGCTCTGCTTTTATATTCTTGGCTTGATTTTTTTTGGGAGAACTAGAATAATTTTAGCACGGATTGGTGGGTATTGATCGATATGGTGATAAATCATTGTATTTATATTTCTAGTTGTATAGTTTTTTAATTTATTGAAATATATTTTGCAGGTCTTAATTAGAGGGAATTGAAGTTATTGATTAAAAAAACTTTTGGATATCACAGCTACACAGACACTTATTTTGTTTTACTAATTAGATTAAATAACCATATATTTCTTTAACAAATTTAGTCATTGGCCCCCTAATTTTGGAAATTAAATAATTAAAAAAGTATTTTAAAATATTAAAAATTCCCCGTAAATACTTGCAGTCATTTCAAAGTGAGCTGAATTGGTAGCTGATGATGATAATAATAAAAGGAAATGTTTATTACAGAGATTTTATTAAATGCATTGGCTTTTTTTGCTTATTTTCATTGAATACATAATTAATGGATAGCATAAATGGGTTAATATATAATTAATAACGCAACCCGCCTAATTTGATGTCATCTGAATAACGTACCCCACCCATTTTAGCATGACGGACAGCACCCCTAATTAATTTTCAATTGATTGCCCCCAAAAAATATATAATTTTTCTGCACCAGAAAAAAATAAATTTTATAAGTGAAAAGACATTAATACCGTCACCCTTTACTCAATGTGTGGGTTGTCGGAGCTACAATTCTCATTTTTCATATTCCCATCTTAATTTAAGATTATAATTAAAAAAAATACAACACATAAGAGAAATTTGAAGTCATGACCACGTGGCACCCAAAAGATTGATAACCACCGAGCCATCAAACCAATTTAAACATATAATGCAAATATATATAATAATCTCATGTCTTTTTTTTTTTAAAGTAAAATAACCTCGGTCTTTAGTTTACATCCTAATTCCCTCATGTGTTATTGTAAATTTTCCAATGTGTTGTTGTAAACTTGTTCATTATGGTTGTAAATTTGGATTGGAAATGGGAGTCGTAAATTCTATATATTGCTGTAAATTTGTTAATTATGGTCGTAGAGCAGGATGAGAGTTGTAAATTTCCCTATATGTTAATGTAAATTTACTAATTATAATTGTAACTTATTCTTTGATGGTTAAAGCTCTGGCTGGCTGCCAGATCCAAAAAATTAGAACAAAAGCACCAAGATCTTTTTATCTACAAAATTTAATTTCATTTTGATGCTTGCAGGAGGAGCAAAATTTTAGAATTTTTTTGTGAACCAATATAAATTAGCAAAATTCTCTCGAATTTTTTCTTTATTTTAGCGTGAATACTAAGTTGATAGCAAAATTCCTGTCTTGCACAATTACTCAGAAAAATCTATTTAGAATCTGACTATTCAGCCAGATTGATTATGCTTTCTGTTTGTGGATGATAAATAGACAGCGATTCTGTTCCAGCGTTCCTTTTAAAAATAGTAGGCTAAAGATTACGTTGGTACTTTAAATTTGTCCAAGTTTGAATATAATTTATTAAATTTTTAAAAAATGTATTTTAAATTCTTAAACTTAGAAGGTGTTTAAGTAAAAATTGAACCATAATTTTAAAAGTGTTGTGTGAAAATACTTTTGAAAAGTGTTTTTGAGGCGAATCAAACACCTCCTTAATCCTTAATTCACTTAGGGTATCGTAAATGCTAACCTAGTGATCTCAAAATGATAACAGGGCATTTCGATACCAACTTATCGATTTTTAATTTGAAATTGGACTGAGTTTTAAATGGGAAAACAATTTATGTTGATTAACTAAATTCTTAACTACCCTTACGAACCGTTGGCAAGTTAACTGTAATAAAAATTTTGATTAAGTCATCTGTAATGTATATTTAGTATTTGTTTATCAATTATATTTTTATGTAATTCTTATTGAAAAAAGAAAAAAATGAAAAGATAATAGAATAGTTTGTAAATATAGATAAAAAATTTAATAAAAATGAAACTAAAAAATTTTATGAAAAATCTCTTGACTCAATCACACCAAGGAGATTGTACCCACATGAATTAAAAAATAGGTGTACGGGCAAGGCGTGGGTGCATGGAATCCCCTACCTGACAGGGGTTTAATTGTGTAGAGTGAAATAAACAAAACTAAGAGGTTGCTCTTGTATTCGGGTGTACGAGTTATCTCAAGTCTGATTGAGATTCCTCGGATCATTCCAATCTCTCAGAGAAAGGGGGCTCGTTTTTATCAATAGTTAAGATAGCACTTACAGAAACTGCTCCTAATTGAACATGGGAGTATTTCCTATCCAGCTGCTACTCGTCCCATCCTAAGACGTGTAGAGAGGGAGAACAACCCAGCTCGAAGCATGAGGGCACTCAACAAGATCCACATTCCAAGTAGGAGGAGTTTATGCTTCTCTGGAGATTTCTCATGCATAGGTACCTGTTGAGCCAATTGGGAACAATAGTAAAAGAAAAAAACGTTGAGATTGATGACGACTTAACTCGGAAATGAGGAAGAATGAGATAGATGGGTGACTGGATATTTTACTGACAGGTCGGGATTTGTGATTCTGAATGAGAAAGTAAATATTGGTTTTGGAGCTTGCCAGGAAACTGGGGATAAGACTCCGAGCAGAACGAGATATTCTGAAGTGTGCTGATATGCTTGCAGGAGAAGCCAGCCCACATGGAAGAGGATCACAGGGTTCTGTTGCCTGGGATACCCCAGAGTTGCCGAGCAGAGGTGCTTAGCGGCCAGAGAAGGATTGAGGAGAATTCTAATCCTCATGGTTGGTATCTTCTGACTATTTTCTCGAGCTTAGGAATGCAAACAGTGAAACAAAACTAACCAACCAATCCCTTCATACGCTGTTCATCAAGGTTGAATTGAAGCCATCACTTGCAGCTAGCAAACGGCGTAGCAATCCTTCATCACCAAATGAGCTAGAGGGGTGGTTGTTCCTCCACTCGGAACCAAACATGATGTTCCACTTCACCAAACGGTGGACCAGTCAGAGAATCCTTCATCTAGAGTTTTGCCGAGTCAACTAAATGTTCTATTTACTTATAAATTGACACTCCTCCTCTCCTTAACATTCCACCTAAAATTTTGATCTTAAATAGAAGATTAATTTTTTTAAAAGTAACTTTATTGATACTTCATCAATCATAATAAAATAAGTTAGGAAGGGAGTATATTAAAAAAATAATTATCGTGTTTTGAAAAAAATATCATATTTTTTATAATTAACTAATTTATCTAATTTTCTTAATATAATCAAATTAATTAAATAAGTCTTATATTAAATATTGGAGGAGTATTATTCATTTAAATATCATTTTATTTATGACCTTTGACTTTTAGTCTAATTTGAACCTTTGAACCGCTTTTCAACAAGAGCGGGGGGTTGGTTATACGTTCCTACCTTTTTTTTTTCTTTTAAAGTAAAATATGTGAACATCTCCTCTATTTAATCTACAGATTTTTTATTTTAAAAATCTATATAGGCTTCTTTTAAAATCAAAATGCGTGTCGCACATAAATATTATTTTATATATCCAACTGTTAATTTATTATTAAATCATAGCTTTGATCCGTTATTTTGACTAAAATACTCCTTCTTAACATAAATATTATTTAATAATCATCGTTTAAAAACTTATGAGATGTGTTCTTTATTCAAAATTAAAGCATAATTTTAATACATATTTAAATATTTTTTGTTTATTAAATCAATTACCATACTACAAATTTAATTAATTTTATAAGTATAAACTTTTATTTTTTCATAAATCAAAATATTTGATCTGATTTATTTATTGAAACTTAGGAAAAATGACACTTAAACTTGAAAATTGCAAAATGATCACTTGGATTTGTAAAATCCTAATTTAAACATAAGTGACAAATTTGAGATTTGTAAATTTGCTAAAATGATCATATTAACATTTATTCAATTTATTTTTTAAAAAACCAAATGCCCTCATTAGCTAGTTAGTCGCCAGAGCTCCAGTGTCGGCTGCCGGCAACAATTTTTTAAAAAATTTTACAACTTCAATAAAACAGTTAACAAGTTTTGTAATGATATTAGTAAGTTCAATATGATACTTAACAATAGGTTTTCTAAAAAATTTAAAAAAATAAAATTTTTATAACTTCAGTAACTACTTTTTTTGAAAAATTTTAAAATTTTATTAAAATAGTTAACAAATTTTGTAACGCTATCAACAATTTTAATATAGCAGTTAACAACAAATTTTTTTAGAAAATTCAAAATGTAGCATTTTCACAACTTCAATAATGCCATTAACAAGTTCTATAACTCTATTAACAAGTTTGTTATAGCATTTAACAACAGCTTTTTTAAAAAATTCAAAAAAATGGTATTTTTAAAACTTTAGTAATTACTTTTTGTTGAAAATTTTTATAACTTCAGTAAAATGGTTAAAAAGTTTTGTAACGCTATTAATAGATTTAGTATAGTAATTAACAATAGGTTTTCTAGAAAATTCAAAAAGTAGCATTTTTACTATTTCAGTAATGCCGTTAACAAGTTTCGTAACTCTATTAACAAGTTTAGTGTAACATTTAATAACAGGTTTTCTCAAAAATTCAAAAAGTGACATTTTTACAACTTTAGTGACGCGATTAACAAGTCATGTAATAATATTAACAACTCTTATGATCATAATGGCTACCTAATAAGTGAAAAAATTTTATTGTATAACTTTCATAAGGAGCTAATATAAAAAACATCAACCTTTATGAGAGTTGTTAATATAGTTACATGACTTATTAATCATATTACTGAAATTGTAAAAATAACAATTTTTGAATTTTTTAGAAAACCCATTGTTAAATGCTATACCAAATTTGTTAATAAATTTACATAATCTGTTAATGACATTACTGAAGTTGTAAAAATGATACTTTTTAAATTTTCTAAAAAACTTATTGTTAACTGTTATACTGAACTTGTTAATAATATTATAAAACTTGTTAATCGTTTTACTAAAATTGTAAAAATACCGCTTTTTGAATTTTCCATAAAACTTATTGTCAAATGCCATATACCGAATTTTGTTAACAGCATTATGTAAGTTATAAACATGCTACTTTTTGAACTTTCTGAAAAAACTGTTGTTAATTGTTATACTGAACTTGTTAATAGTGTTGTAAAACTTGTTAACTATTTTATTGATGTTGTAAAAATTTTGAAAAAAAAAAATGGTTGCTAGGGGCCAAAGCTTCAATGATTCATTGTCGGTCAGTAGCAGGAGCTCCATTAACGGCGGCCACTGCTGACACTTGAGTTTTGGTGACGGGCCGTCTAGTGGGGGCATTTAATTTTTTTAAAAATAATAAGTAAATAAATAAATAAAGCGTATTATGGTCATTTCAGCAAATTTATAAATTTTAAATTAGTCACTTATGCCTAAATTAGAATTTTGCAAATTCAAATGGCTATTTTAATATTTTTAAGTTTAAGTGTTATTTTTGTACTATTTTCCCTACAACTGACTTGCGATGCAATGTTTTAAATATACATGATGCAATCTTGTACATACATTCAAATAAATTACTTTTTCAATTCTTAATGTGGGGCCTAATTGTTAAATTAATTTTGATTTTAAATATAAGATCTATTTCTTATATTTATTAATTTTTCTTAAATTATCTCTATAAATATTCTTTCAACCATAATCAAGTAAGTGAGGGAGAGAGAATATTAATAAAAATGACTATGATATTTTAGAAAAAAACATGTCATATTTAGTTATAGTAAATTAGTTAAATAGATATTATATTAAGGATCGAAAGAATATAAAGCTATAAAATGATTTAATTTTGGGAAAATCCCAAAAAAGGTCCTTGGAATATGGGAAATGCCAGATTGGGCCCTTAAATTTCGAAAATGACAGAATGGGTCATTGACCCAATCTGTCATTTGTGAAATTCAAGCGAATTGACAATTTTGCCCTCATTTATTCATTCACTACAATGATTCAAGGAATCATTATAAGAGTTTAGGTGTTACCTAGATTCGTATAGCGAATAACTATTCACTTTTTCATAGTCAGGTGTCTTGTTATTAACTACAACTAATGTTGTAATCACTAGAACAATGTAAGTATTACCTAAATTTGTGTAAAGAATAACTACTCATTTTTTCATAGTCAGGTATCTTATTATTGTCAGGTACCTTGTTATTAACTATAACGAATCTTGTAATCACTAGAACAGTATAAGCGTTACCTAGATTTGTTTAGAGAATAACTACTCACTTTTGCTCAGGGGTAAAAATGTCAATTCGCCTGAATTTCACAAATGACAGATTGGGTCAATGACCCATTCTGTCATTTTCGAAATTTAAAGGCCCAATTTTCGAAATTTAAAGGCCCAATCTGGGATTTGGTATTTTCCAAGGGTTTTTTCTGGGATTTTCCCTTTAATTTTCCTTCATATATTAATACGTTATAATTCAAAAATTTTAAATATATTTTATAAAACATATTTTTGTTAAAATATTACTCAAATTTTTGACCACGTTTTTCGATACTTTAAGTTACTTAAGTTTTGTCCATTCTTAGTAAAAACATTAAATAGATTATCTATAAATATTAATGTTAAAAAATAAATTATAGATTTGGTATAACGAGGAGTAAATTAGTAAACAAAATTTATTTTCATAAATTTTTAATTAAAAAATAATTTAAGAATTTTTTGAAATTTTTTTTAATGGCATTAATAGTGTCTTCAAAATAGAAGGGTCAAGACAAGCCAGAATTGGGACGAGAATATTTTACTTTTTTTTTTTTTTTTAAAGCCTCAGTTCTCAAGCTTCCTTTGCAGAAATGACATCAACTTGCGTGCTGAGATTAGCAAAACCGAAATTATCAATAATCAATCACTTTTATAGAACTAAGCCTTCCACTCCCTGCTCTGTATGTGAGTGATCGCTCCGGGATGATGCTGTTATTATTCCATCCCTTACATGATAGATGGTTGGTGATGATAGACTGAAACTAACCAGGCATGTCTAGCCACTTCCAGAGTTGTTACCATTTGATTCACAAGAAAAAGAAGAGTCGAGTTGTTACGGGTAGCTTGTAGGATAATTGAGAATTCTAAGATAGATATGGGAAAAGGTAGCAAATAAAATATATGATCTCACCATCTCACTCTCATCAATTTAACAAACACTTGTTAGACTCTTTCATATACTAATGCTGATTCACTCCTTCCCATCTCACTGGTTCTCTCGTTTACCCTAACACTTTTAGTCCTGCTAGTTGTCACCGAGCGATTTCTTACATTGTAATCTCCCCAGATCGAGTAGAGATGGAGAACAAGCATGTTCGCACCAGTTACAACCATTAAGAAGGAAAGAGATGCAGAGGATCCTGTCAATTTCGAAAACTTAAAGCAAAACCCAACCATTAGGGCACTCAAAAACAACCATATACCTATTTGGAGCTTATGCTTCTTTGAAGATTTCTTCCATGGAGGTATCCGCTGATTCAATTCGAAGCAGTAGTACAACAAGAAGGCAACAAAGCCGACGAAGATGACGAAGGATACGGTTGGAATTTCGTGGTTGGAGTATGATCTGTAAATTCGGGCGCTGCTGCTCGTAACCAAGCTGATGAGACCGAAGCAGGGGAGGATATGGTGAAGTCGAGTTTCCAGGTTGACATTGACGACGACATGACGCTGTGATGAAGTCCCTTCAGGGATTTCCATTGTTTGCCCGGAAAGCAAGTGAAGAAGAACTTGCGAAGCGAGCTGTAGTTCTGTTGAGGATGAGGAAGAAGAAGGGGTTCGTAGCCTTAAATAAGAACATGTTTTGAATCTCTTTTCCTTTTGGTCACGGAGCAAGGAACTTGCTGGGAAACTGCGAATCCAATTCGAGGCAGACCGCTGGGAGGTGCGAAGTTTCCAGTGATATTTCCTGGAAACACCCAAGAGAGCATGAATGGGAAAAATGGTCAAACATTATATGCGGAGTCAAAGCGACTTTTCATAATAGAACAAACAGTTTAACCTTTATAAAAAGAGTTAAAAGAAAAAAAAAAAAGATGAACGGGAGAAAACCGGACAGGAAAAAAGAGAGAAGTAAATGTCAAAATGACTATAACACCCTTATTATAAAAAACAATTAGCAAAGTAACTAAATAATTTAGCAAAAGAAAAATATTTTTCTGGGTGAAAAAATAAAAGAGAATAATTTTTTAGATTGAATAAAATCAAAAATAATAAATTATACATTATTTAATATTTTAATAAAATGATAAAAATCTTATAAATTGAAAATGAGAAATTAATATTCGAATAAGACGCGCACTACTGGATGGAAAGCGAGCCCAAGACCAGTGATGATGACGAGAGCACCTCAGCATGTGAAAGGCTGAGGATTGATGAGAGCTCTACACAGAAAGACAATGATATAAGAATGGATTTTTTCGTATGAAAATCTGGAGTGAAACACCATCCCCCAGTTTTCTCTGTCTCTCCTGTTTTCTTTCTCATTCAATGAGAAAAAAAACTCCATTCTTCTCCCATTTTCTACCTCACTCTTTTTTCCTCTCTCATTTTCTCTCAATCCAAGTAAATTATTGGTTACTTGCATATAATTTTTTTAATATTTTAAAGTTTAAATTTGGTCTACTTGATGTTATAATTTTTTACCTTAAGCCCTCCACCGTTAATTTTGTCTCTAAGTCACACAGGGAAACTGTCGTGTTAGATTAACGAGGATGATGTGGCATCCTATATAACATCCAACATGGCATGTGGGAGTTAATTATTTAAAAAATGACAAAAAAATACTTATTTGATTTTACAAAAATAAATAAGGTATACTGATTATTCTTTTGTCACCTCCTGGTCATACTTTGACAGCAAAATGACATTTTAACCCTTGTATAAAAGATATATCATTATCGTAAAATTGTTACCTCGTAAGGATACTATGTTAGATGTTACGTAGGGTGCCACATCATCCTCATTAATTTGACATGGCAATTTTTATTGGAAAATTAATCTTTTAATCCCTATAGTTTTAATATGTTTGTAACTTAATTCTTATACTCTGACTCGTTATAACTCAGTTCTTATAGTTTTGACTCGGTTATAATTCAATCCCTGAAGTTTGACTCGCTGTAATTTGGTCTCTATAGTTTTATCCATTTTATAATTTAGTCCTTGTATTTTTAAAAAATAAAATTATATATCTGATAAAAAGAGGGATTAAATTATAAAATGGTTAAAAGTATAGGGACTTAGTTGCAGTGATTCAAACTTCAGGGACTGAATTATAACTGAGTCAAAACTATATGATTGAGTTGTACTGAGTCAGAGTATAAGGACTGAGTTATAAAAAGAAATAAAAATTATAGGGACTAAAAGATTAATTTTTCCATTTTTATTTGTGACTCAATGACAAAATTAACCACAGGGAGTTAAGGTAAGAAATTATAACATCAAGGAGGCTAAATTTAAACTTTAAAACATCAACGGAGTTTTTTAGATTTTAACTTTTTTTTATAATGGAGATCAGTTTAACCTTTGACGTCAGGCAACATGATGCCAAACAAGAGGTGAATAGATTTTAAGTATTTTGTCTCAATCATTATGATAAGATGTTAAAATTCTGATTCATTTGTCAGAGTCTGATGATAAATTTTCAAAAGTAACATTTATTTAAAAATTTTGTTCTGATGTTATTTACTTATTGGTAAATATTTACCATCTTAACAGAATTTATACTTTGATATACCATTGCTTAAAATTTTTAAGTCTACCGTAATATCTTGCGATAATTTGTGGGGATCAAATATCTTTCAATATTACTCGTCGCGTAGTATGCTCCTCTGCTTCCCTTCATTTTCAATTGCTGGCCACAGTAATGATTGGTTTTGGGCAAGATATATGGTACTACCTTCGGTCCTTAATATAAGACCCTGTTTGACTTTTATTTTGATCCTAAATATAAGACCATAATCCACTTTGTCTCTCATATTTATGTATTTTTTCCTAAGATAGTCCTTCTAATAGTTATAGTTATAGCCAATATAGTTAATTAGTAAGGATATTTTAAGAAAAACAACACATATTTATTACAAATAACTAACTTAACTTCTTTCCTTAATCTCCTCAAATTAGTCAACCGGCTCTTATAATTAGAATCGGAGGTAGTATTAGCATGTTCGTTGGCCGAAAACAAAAAAAGTAGTGGTATTAGCATGTTCAGAGATCTTTTGGTAAAAAAAAAAAAAAAAAAGCATGTCCAGAGATCGGAGCGGCCTTGGTTCATAACTACGAGGAGAGAGTTGCATTGTTCAGTATTTCAAAAATGTCAAGCCGAATTGCCGGCCAAAAAAAAGAGCCAAGCCGAATTATATGACCTTACAGTGGTGCGCAGGCTGATATTTGTTCTCAATCATTGTCTGATTATGTGAAAGCATGTATGAAATACTGCCTATTCTGTAATGCAATATGGTTAGAAGGTTGGATTTTACTTTAAATATGATATTTTATTCACATTTATTTCGCTTACATATTCTTAAATTAATTTATTTAATTTATAAATTGATATATAATCTAATGTTATATATAAATATTTTAAAAAAATTATATCGTATTTGTTATAATTAACAAATTTTTTAATTTTTAAATCTATTTAAATTAATTAAATACTTCTTACTCTGAAAAAAAAGCAAAGGAAGGTCACATGACAATTGCTAATATTTCTCATGCTCCGTAGCTTTTTGACGTGGAAGACTCTGTGTGGGTTGAGCTTGAGTCTGGCCGAGTGCGGGTGAATGGGTGCGAATTACCGTGTTGTATGGGCTCATGGAATTTTCACCCTCTCGCGTTTTCGGGTGCGGGAAATTTCACGGAAGGGGGAAAAAATAACATCAATGACTGAAGTCAGTCTTATGGAAACGTCAACCGGAATTCCACGAGTCTTGGTTTTTGCTTGGATTCTTCATTCTTCAGTTCAACCATCCTTAAGAAGGCAAGCAGATTTCCGCCCCTCATGGAAGTTTCCAAATCCAAGTTCTGTTACTTTGTGCTTATCGGGGGGGGGGGGTGTTTATAAGCAGAATGCAGGCTGCCAATAAAAATATCTCCCCCACCCCCGGGCACACGAACAATACATGTACACAGACACGCATATCAATTCCACATTATTTTTTTAAAAAGATTTAGTGAAGATCATACGCAAATCAAACTCGCGATCTCCTAATCCTAATTATGAAGATGTATCAGTACTACTAAATTGCAAAATTTTTAGTTTTTACGTCGATTTTTGACTCTTTTCTGTCTTTATGATCAGCTTCATACTCAGGAGTATTAGCTCAAAAATTTTTATATTGCAACTGTGTTTATAAAATTTTTTTTTAAAAATACAAAAATGGCCCGTTTTAAAATTTTTAATCTTTATATGAATCTATACAGTATTTTTTAAACAAATTAACCGTTTTTTAAGCCCGGCTATAATGATAGTATGAACTTCATTATAATTTTTTTCTCTTCTACTTTTAAAGTTTATACCACCTCCTGTCTTAATGATAATATTTTATTTGTAGATTACAAATATACTGAACCTTGGAATAAAATTATATTAATGTCCCTTCATTTTGTCTAAATCTTCTTTTAACCTGTGTAAAATTCACAGGCAGACGCAGCGTCGCCGGTAATAGTAGTGCACGCTTCGCCGTTACTGCACCTCCCGAAGCACCCACATATTCAATTGGCAGCGGCAAGATTGAAGTCACCTTAAACACCCGCGTGCCTCATGGAATTCCTCTAGACTATAAGAAGGTGAAAATCTATTTTTCCCCTTCTCCTCTATAATGCTTTATACTCACATCAGTGTTTCGAAGCCTTTTTAACCCTTTCTTCAAACAGCGCCCTTTTGTGCTTGTTCGAACTTCTTCTAAGGTGCCCAGAAGGAGTTACTGTTCAAGCCGTGACCTTCTTCAAGTTTGTTTCTTGGGTACGGCAAAATTATTGGCATCAATGGCGTATAGCGGTGGAGGCATGGGCTCCCTTCCTGCGGGCGCCTCTGCGTCGTCATCAACAATTAAGCAGGTAAAATTGGACAAAGAGAGCGAGCTCAGAATCGAAGTGGGTAACGACACACCTCTTCGGCTTCGACTCCTGAATGGCAATGCCGAGATTTTTGGGACGGAGCTTCCACCAGAAATCTGGCGCACTTTTCCTCCCAGGCTCAAGTTTGCTGTGAGTTTCGATGCAATGAATTTCTCTTTTCTTTTCTTTTCTTTTGGGTGGATTCTACTTGAAGGCAATTGAATGATCCCCTGAGACGCTCATTGAGTTGTTTATTGCCTTTTGATTTGTTACTGATTCAGTAGTATTATGCATGGAATTGAATGATCCCCTCGATGTGTGTCTTGGCGAATGTTCATCGCAGCTGCTTCGTGTTAGTAAAATAACTTCAACAAAATTGCAACTACAAGTTTATCCGGAGACTTGTATTAGTTTGTAGCATTCGCTCAATACACCTTGTTCTTGTGTTTACCATGTTATTGCTGATCAATAAGCCCAAGGACCAAGGGGTGGTTAATGGTCTATTGGTGCAAAATGGGAATATCTAGTGTAGATCTTTCTCTATCTCTAGGTTCCTCTTGGTGTTGAAAGACACATGAATGGCTAAGTTTTGACGCAAACATTTTGTTCACGTATCAGGTATTTTCTTGGTACGGAGCTACAATTGAGATGGACGGCGCTACAGAAACTGATTATGTTGCAGATGAGGTAAATTAATGTCGTCTGGTTTCATTTTTTAAAACTTATTGTTACTTTGGTAAATTGGAAGAGGAAAAAAAAAATGAAAATGATTGGTATAAATGATAACATTTGATTTCAGACCCCAATGATTAGTTACGTCAATGTACACGCTGTACTTGATGGACGAAGGAATCGTGCTAAAGCTTCATCCAATGATTCTGAATCTTCTCAGGTAATTATATCTCATGATTATGATTATCGGATTGAATCTTAATGTGCCATACTGGATTGTTGTCTGTAGACTGTAATTACTGTCAATGCTTCTCGAACTTCTAATTCTTCTGTATAAATTATGCTAAAAGACTAAAACTCATGTTTCTAGTAATTTATCCTTTTTTTCTGGTCATAGATAGTAATATTATGTCCAATTGCACATTTTGGCTCGAAAGATCATAATTCCATGACCATATCATTCGTTTAATACATAAAACTTTTAGCATGTCATTTGACAGACTTCGTTGTTCAGGGACCTAGGGTGATTGTTGTAGGACCTACAGATTCTGGAAAAAGCACCTTGTCCAGGATGCTTCTTAGTTGGGCTGCTAAACAAGGCTGGAAACCTACCTTTGTTGACTTGGATATTGGCCAAGGATCTATAACAATTCCTGGATGTATTGCTGCTACCCCAATTGAAATGCCCATTGATCCCGTTGAAGGAATTCCTCTTGAAATACCTCTTGTATACTTTTTTGGGCACACAACCCCAAGGTACCTAGTGAATTGTTTCCACTATAACATGACAATAGTCTTGCATTAAATTAATAGAGAAAGCAGGTACCAAATATTATTTGGCTTTGCAGTAACAATGTAGAACTGTATAAAGTGCTTGTCAAGGAGCTGGCTGGGATGCTGGATAGACAATTTGCTGGAAATCCTGAGTCTCGAGCATCTGGCATGGTGATAAATACCATGGGATGGATTGAGGGAGTAGGCTATGATGTAATTGACCTTTGAACTTCACCTTATTGATAATTGATGACTACCTTCAACTTTTGATGCACTTCTTCTGAATGAGAAAAATTTAATTGTTCTCATCATGTTTTCAATTTTCTTTCAGTTGCTCTTGCATGCAATTCGCACCTTCAAGGCAATGTTGTGTGGTTTTGGGTCAGGTAGATAAGTTACTTTTGTTTAATATGTAGCTTGTTGTTATCTTGTCAGCTTTGCTTTGTTAACTGATTCCTATGATATAGGCGTTCTAATGTCCTAATGTTTTCTGTTGTCCGCATCATTCTCTTTCAAATCTGCTTCCAGGAAAAACTTTGGAGCATGCTAAAAAAAGAGGTGTCAAAGAGCGAGCCCGCTGTGGATGTTGTGAAACTTCAAAAGTCTGGTGGAGTTGTAAATAGAAATGCAAAATACCGTCAGAGGGCCAGAAGTTATAGGATAAGAGTGAGCACGCTTGTCTAGTTATTGTTATCTTCTGCACATATTAATGTATCATAACCTATTTCTTCCATTCTTTAATGGTTTAATTTTAAAATATACACAATTTAGCCAGTTGGAATCAGATGTCTATAGAACATCATTCTACTGAGTTTATTATTTTGAATCTGAGGAGTATTCTTTTTAGAGTTTAAGTTAGGATAACAGGAATGGACTTATTCAAGGCTTCTAAGCTGAGATTATATAAAAATGATTTGCACAATACTCGGTTAACATCTAATATTAATTAATGATTAATAGTTAAGGGCTTGTGAGTTTTGGACTTAATGTTTCTTTTTCTTTTTTTTTCATGAGAAGTCTATGCTTTGATTGAGAACTGTTTAACTGACATATCATATATCTGAACAGCTCAAGATTTTATTAAACAAAAACCTTTCAGTATCACATTGGAGTTACTAAATTCTTTCACCATGATAAGTTACCCTCGTTCTTGTGACCTTCAATGTTTAAGGGCGAGTTAATTGCAATCAAGTTGTGGCTAATGGATGCACCGTGCGATGTATCTTTCTATTGAAATTAATACTTTGTTGACATAGGCAGTTCAGTATAAACTCCTGGACTATTGGTCCCGTGCTGTTTTTATGTAGTAGCCTACATTTGACGTTCAAATTTATTGAAAACAAGCAGTAAATAGGATGGCAAAATTTCACAAATAATAGTAAGCCGTATGATTATGTTGTTTCTTCTTCCCAACACACACAGAATTCTCTTGCTGCTTTGTGAGTTCTGATGCAAATTGGTATTCTCTGATTTTGAACTAGGAATACTTTTATGGCCTCACAAATGATCTTTCTCCACACTCCAATATTGCAAATTTTAGCGATTTGTTTGTCTATCGGATTGGCGGTGGGCCACAGGCCCCACGTTCAGCATTGCCAATTGGTGCAGAACCTGCTGCAGATCCTACCAGAATTGTTGCTGTGAATATAAACAGTGATTTGCTTCACTCAGTCCTTGCCGTCTCTTTTGCCAAGGATCCTGAAGAGATAATTTCAAGGTAACAATTCTCTGGAATATCAAATTCCTCTTAATTTAAACCTCAATTAAGATTTTGCTCAATGAACTAAGTGGTTGAAAATCATTTCTGAGACTCATCTCATATTGCGGCTGAACATTGAAATTTAGAGCATAGTATATCTCAAGACAGCCAAAAATGATGTTAAAACATTATTTATAAACACCCTTCCCCTTCCTATTAAGGATCACACCATTCAGTGCTTTACATCTATTTGATACAGCAATGTAGCTGGCTTTATTTATGTGACAGACGTTGACATACAGAGGTATGGACTTGACTTTTCCCTTTTTTGCCCCCGCTTATCTGATCATATATGTGCTTAATGCTTATTATATATCTATGCCTCTAAATGTATTTGTGCTGTGCTGTGCTGTGCAGAAAGAAAGTAACTTATCTGGCACCTTCTGCTGGAGAACTTCCTGGCAAATATTTGATACTGGGATCGCTGACATGGCTTGAAACATGATCAAATGAGTGCATAATATCATCGCTCCTACAGTTTAGCCTTAGATGACAAAAGATTACAACCTCAGATCATTGTGTTGTGTATTAGCTCTCCCAATTAGTTCAGTGGGTTCAAAAGAATGTAATGTTTTTAAGGGTGGTTTGTCCGTGTGGTCCTGATCTTTTCTTCTTTTTGTCTTCTAACTAAAACCTTCAGTCCAAGTCACAGTCAGTGCAAGAAATTCCTCTTTTTGTCAGTTTAACTGGTTTGGTATAATAGTTTACTAATTGTGGCGTAACAGTTTGGTGGGTGGATAATTAACGGACTGGTTCTTACCTCGTGTGGAATTAATCTTTTCCTGTTTTTTTAACCGTCAGAATTAATCTTTTCTTCGAACTTAGAATGAGCGTAGACATCCCTCCGATATAACATATGTTGAAATGTGGAAATTCTCAGTTGAGGTTTGGAGGGCTATAAAATAATTTTCAAATAAAAAATTTATATGCACATGCATGTATTGCGGGAAAACGTGTGTATATAGAGTTTAACATTTCTTGAAATTAACCGGTGATATTCTTTTTTTTTTCAAGGAAATTTTATTCTTTAAGAGACTGAGTTTAGCAGGCAAGACAAGGTATATAACCGTTCCATATTATTTTGGGTGTTATAATTTATGTAGGAACTGAAATTGTGCAGATGAAGATAATTTAAAAAAGTAGATAGAATATTGGACCGATGGATTGATGGTATGCTCGCATGTACCATCACAATTATTGAGGTTCCCAAAGTTAGGCTACCAACAAGTGCCAAATATTAAAAGGGGTACATATGAGGGGGAAAAAAATAAAGAAAAATACAATATCATGTGCTTAACGTGGCATAATATGACATGATAGTGCAGAGTTCCAAATTGCCGTTGACCGGAAAAAAAAAGAGAGATAAACAGAATGTGGTGCATGAGCACCAACCAGAATACACAGGATCCATTTTTTCAAGTGACACAATAGTTATCCTTTAGCCCAAGAAAATAACAGGCAGCTTCATCTTCTAGCTGAAAATAGATGCATAAAGTAGTATATTAAAATATCGCAATTATCTTCGTTAATATTTGTAATATTGAAAACTACGTGCCATATATTTCGAATACAATCATAGTTTTTTTGGGGGTAGACTTAAAATATCTATTATTTGATGTTATAAAATGTCAAGTTAGACCCATAATTTTATGAATTAAAGAGAGCAATTATTAATTCTTAATAATTTATTTAATTCCGCTTATAAATGTTTTTGGTCCAAAATAATCAAAAGCAAAAACAAATACCACATTGAAAGAGACTCTTCTATTTGAGTCTTGATTGGCTTAGTGGCAGAAAATGCTCCCCTCTACTAGCATTTGCCCCTTTGACCAAAAAAACATAAATTAAAAATGTAATTGGTTATTGAAATTTTTAATATTTTTTCCGCATATTAAAATTTTTTTCCGTATGTTAAAATTTTTGGCATATTTTTAAATCCAATACAAATTATACAAATTTTGTTTTTTAAGAATGGGTATCAGGAGCAAAAAGAAAGTCAAACAATTGAGCAGAAAAAATCTTGTAATTAGCAATGCCAATGCCCACCAAGTGACCCTCTCAAAAGAAAAAGAAATGGCTGTCCCTTTCTCTCTCCTGCCCAGCCTGCCCGTACGCCTACTTTCTTGCTTCTAGCCTGCCCGACCGGCCCGCTGTTGAAAAACTTTCCCTCTTTCTCAAGCAGTCTCCCGCTTTCCTCTTCAACGCTCTTTCCCTTCCTCTCCCACAGCCTCTGGACTCAATTTCAGTATTGAGTCTGTCAATCATTTCAGTCACTTACCAGTCTGCAAGTGTTGATCCTTGATCCTTGCTTTCATTGGTTATTGAGGTTCCATTCTTTTTTGTTCAATTGATAGGTCTCACAGCCTTCAATTATTGTGGTTAGGGTGCCTCTTAAGTGTCCTCTCCTTCTCGGAAATCTCTGGAATTTTTGGGTATGGAAGCTTCTATGTAAGAGTTTTTGAAAGATGGGATTCGGGAATAATGCAATTCAAGCTGGAAGTTTGGACGTGGGCAAGACACATGGAAAGAAGAAAGATGGCGCAGGGAAGCATAGTGGTTGTTGGGCTAAATTCAGTTGCATCGGAAGCTGCATACCTTCTAGATCAAAGATTGATAACTCCTTAAGTGGTGGCCCAAGCGGCAATAATGGTAGTTTTCTCTCTATTCTGCTCTGTACATGTCATGGAAACTTTTCTGTTTTATGTCAGTTTTAGTGTAGAGAGAAATTAATTCGTGTTTTTTTTTTTTTTGTTTTAACATCTACGTGCTTGTTCAGTTTGGGCTGCAATTTAAATTTTCAATAAACGGAATGAGCTCGCATGATTCGTGTATAATTTTTCTTTGATGTCGTTTTATTCCTAGAGAATGTTGAGCCTCCAACTTCTTTATTGCCAAATACCAAGCAATTGAAGATCCTAAAGAATGCTTTTTTTCTGCATTATCGATGGAAACATTTTATATACACGACTTACTAAAGGCGTTGAGATGTCAATATTGTATCAATTGAGAATATGTGCTACTTGCTCGACCTGCAATTGTGCTATTAATGCTGTCGTGGGCAATTTGTGATGCTTTAATCTTTTGCATCGCTCTGCTGGATTGTAGTTTAATATGGTTAATATGCTTGCAAACTAATCTCGCAATTAAGTTGCATGAAGCCAAGCGCCACAGCATCATTCATGTAATAGTTTGTAATCTTTGTGTAATCAGTTGAAAACAGATGTACAAATGAAAATACCAAAGATCGAACAGTTGCTCCTCCAGAGTCCTCCACTACCACTAGTAATGCAGGCAGTATACCCTCAACTCCAAAATTCAGTGAGGAGTTGAAGGTTTCTTCTCGTTTGAGAAAATTCACATTCAATGAACTTAAATTGGCAACTAGGAATTTCAGACCAGAAAGTCTTCTTGGCGAAGGAGGGTTTGGTTGTGTCTTCAAGGGTTGGATTGAAGAGAATGGAACTGCACCTGTCAAACCAGGTACTGGGCTTACTGTTGCAGTGAAGACCCTCAACCATGATGGACTTCAGGGTCACAAAGAGTGGCTTGTAAGAATTTACTCTTGTCCTTTCTCAATTATTATCCTTCTATGATCTGCTGAGACTACAAACTTCTCTGTTATATAATTCTTTGTTTTGTTAACACTTCTAGTTTTTTTTTTCAGGCTGAGCTGAATTATCTTGGTGATCTTGTCCACACTAATCTGGTTAAATTGATTGGTTTCTGTATTGAAGATGACCAAAGATTATTGGTTTATGAATTTATGCCCCGAGGAAGTTTAGAGAACCATCTCTTTAGAAGTACACTACTAACTCATTCAATTTCTGTTGCATGTTTACGTTGCTACTTGTTTATCTCTGGCTAATACCATTTTGATTGCTGCAAATTTTGGATGTTCTTGACGCAAAAGCCAAATAAAATGAAAATTCTCAGTTCAGCTACAATCAAACTAAAGCTTAGTTGAACTGTAGATTGCTTGTTACTGATGCTACTATTTTCCTGGGATGTTGCCTATTTGGTGATGAATTAATATAAGCTGCATTGACCTATCAAAGACAGAAATTAATTGAGTAAATATTGAAGTGGCTTCTAGGATTGCTTAGTGATAAATGAGGTCTACGAAGCTAAAATCCGATCCTTGTTTGATGTAGCTTAATGTCTTTTGCATAATCTATCCTATGAGAGTTAACGATCGGGATGAGCAAATAATAACTATGACTACTAACAAAATCAAACCTGGAAGAGTGTAAATTATATGTGCCTTCATAATTAAATTAATAAAATGCATAGTTGAATGAACAACCATTATTTGCATTTTTTTTTAATTAAAATGTAATGCATTATGTACTAAACTTCAGGCTTGTGAAAAACAAAAGCCAGAATAACCTTTTTCTTCAATGTCACTGATTTTCCTGCTTAATGCTATGCTTTTAGATATTAAATACAGGTATTTATTGTTTTCTGGTAACAACCATGATTTATGCAGAAGGGCCCTTGCCTCTTCCGTGGTCTATCAGAATGAAAATTGCACTTGGAGCTGCAAAAGGTCTTGCCTTTCTTCATGAGGAAGCTCAGAGGCCTGTAATATATCGAGATTTCAAGACATCTAATATCCTATTAGATGCGGTATGCAGTGAACTAGTTGAGAGGATTCTCATTATTTGATGTTTTCTAATCCATTCACTTATTATTATTATTTTTTTAAATGTCGTTAGGAATACAATGCCAAGCTTTCTGATTTCGGACTTGCCAAAGATGGTCCTGAGGTTGGAAAGACCCATGTATCGACAAGAGTTATGGGAACATATGGTTATGCAGCTCCAGAGTATGTGATGACTGGTGAGTTTCCAACTTTACATCATTTTTCCCATCTGAGTGTTGATTGGGATTTCTTGGACTTTTAATTCACTTTTTGCTTTAGACTCTAGACAACTTAGCTTGCAGCATTGAGAATTCCATACATATTGGTGAGGTTCACAATTTTTTATCTGTACCTTACAGTTCATTCACTAATGCTTAATAATTCAAGTACATTTACTCTATACCCAAGTGCTGTTTGTTTGAATAAAACTAAGAGTGATATATGCTTTTAGTCTTGGTACTTTATTCAATGGTCCTTGAAAACTTTTTCAAGTTTTAGCCTTGTTTGAGCTGAAATTTTTCTGTAAGGAAAGAAAAATATTGTTCCCATTCTTAATTTTCGCCATTCCTAGAAATTTAAATTGGATTGTTTGATTTTGTAATTATTCTTTTCTTCCGTTCTTCCTTCCAGTGCTGACACTTCCCCATCGTGTGTTTGTATACATTTTAAAGAAACAATTCAGTTATTGAATTAATTTTTTTAATTTAAAACTGTTGAATGAGTACCTAAGAGTTCTTTAAATTAAAGAATAATATAGTGGGAGATTTACAACTTGCGGAGGGTATAGGGGAAAGGGACTCTCCATGAGGGAGAGGGGTTGTCATCCAGCACTCAGATGGCAGCCAAAATATACCTTCATATGTAAGTATCAATTATACAAACAGCTGAAATCAAATTCTGGTACTGTTTCCAAGAACCACATAACTTAAAGCTTATGTTAAGAAGTGAGAGTTAAAGAATGGCAATTATGCTCATAGTAATTGCAACCACAGGGATCAACTATAGAGAAAGGGTTTTCTGTGCTAGAATTCTTTACAAAGGCTAGTTTGTAGACTCCAACATGTCAGTAGTAAGTTGAACGGTACCTTTTATTCCCCCAAGTCATAGTTGAAACATACCTTTTATCAGCCACATAACTGTTGTGACTCTCGTTGCCTTTGTTTTCTTGCCCAACCACGCAACTTTCATCGCTTGTGATCCACAATTTGTTTGTCAAGTGTGATGATATCAGCTATGATTTAATTTTAGGTAAATTATTCTCCTTTCAATTAGATTGCTCGTCCCCCTATATTGTGAAAAATTTACTCTCTACCAAAAGATACCTAAGGCTTCCTACAAAATTAAAAGGGGAAAAAAAACACTCAAGCCTTAACTCGTTTTGACCAGCAATATTTTTCTATTCATTGAGATGATGTATTTCTTGAAAAGATCCTTTAATTTTTGAAAATCAGGTTTACATTGACAAATTGGATATACATTGATTATTAGAACTTAATATATTTTAAAATGAGTCGGGGAAATTATACTGGGGAAGGGAGTATTTAGAGCAACTTGTTTTTAGAACAAGCTTGATTCTTCATATGGGGAAAGGAACATGTTGAAATAAAAAAAAAAGAGACTGAGAAAGCTGCCTCATGTTTTTTATGGTTAGTCGGAGAAAGTGTTTGCAATTTCAACTTATTTGCATTATGCTTCCTTAATCTCAATGCTGACTTGATACTGCCAATTCTGATTTAGGACATTTGACGTCAAAAAGTGATGTTTATAGTTTTGGAGTAGTGCTGCTTGAAATGCTTACTGGTAGACGAGCAATTGATAAACGTAGACCCAATGGGGAACACAACCTGGTGGAATGGGCAAGACCTGCACTCGGGGACCGGAGGATGTTCTACCGAATAATTGATCCGCGTCTTGAAGGTCACTTCTCAGTTAAAGGTTCACAGAAAGCTGCCCAACTGGCTGCTCAATGTCTCAGCCGTGATCCTAAATCTAGACCCATGATGAGTGAAGTTGTTCAGGTTCTCAAGCCTTTGCCAAACCTAAAGGATATGGCTATTTCATCTCAATACTTCCAGTTCACACGAGTAGATCGCACTATGTCCATGCCAAATCCCAAAAATGGTTCAAAAACACAACTAACATCTGTATCAAGGAAAGGTCAGCCTGTAAGGATCTTGTCGAGTCCAAACGGTCCACGTGGCTCTCCATATCGTCATTATTCCAAGTCGCCCAAACCTAATGGGTGAGAATCATGATTCACTCTTTCTGGTTTGCTGCTTTCTCCATTCAATTCCCTCAAATTAGACCATCAGCTGAACATCAACGGTTGAGTTTGGAATGTCTTTGAAACTTGAGGGGGATCATGAAAGTCTTATGTCATTAATATAATCTTGAATAAGTTGGGTTATGCTGGAGGATTTGCTAGGGAGACACAGGTTTAGATTTCTTTTATGAAGATGCTCAGCTCACGAGTCTTCTACTTTCCTGAATGTATTTTTGTAAAGAAGGAAATTTGTGGTGTTGTTAACTCATGTTATTCATAGATTTTTACATGCTAATTCATCAAGAACTTCTCATTAAGTACGCATTAATGTAATTAATAGTATACTTTTATGAGGTACACGCTGTCCTAGGCCAGGAGTACGTTATTTTTGGTGTGTTGCTTTGCTCACAGTCACAGCCAAAAAAATACAGTGTAATAGTAGAATTACGGAGTAATGTCACATTCCTGCATGACTTTATTTGAGGCTCCATGTCCATCTGTCCTTGGATCATGACAAATGGTACAGGCAATATTGTGAAGACCAAGTGTACACAATTTTATAAGATTCTTTATAATTAGAGCCCAAGTTCAGAAATTACTTGGGAAGTTTAAGAAGTTATTATAACTTGGGAGAAAAAATCATGGCTTGGCAGAATGAACTTGTTTCAATTAACTTTTATGTTTTCCCAACAACTACTTGCCATGACGAGCAAGCCTACCTTCGTTCTTTTCGTTCCTTCTTTGTTTTGGGTCAAAACTCAATCTTACTTGCAAAATAGGAGAACAAGCGGATTTTAAGCTTAACAAATGAGTTACAAGTATTAATAACAGAATTAATTTTTGATTTGATTGGGGAAAATTTGTAATCTAATTAGTCAATAATGCAACTCTGCAATATAAAAATTTATCTAATTGTGTATACTTTACTACTACCTCCGATCCTAATTATAAGAGTTAGTTAACTAATTAGAGGAGATTAAGGAAAAAAGTTAAATTAGTTATTTATAATAAATAGGTATTATATTTCCTAAAACATCCTTACTAATCAAGTGTATTGCCTAGAATTATCATTGTTAGAAAGACTATATTGGGAAAAAATACATAAATATAAGAAATAAAGTGGATTGAGGTCTTATATTTAGGACTAAAATAAAATTCAGACAAGGTCTTATATTAAGGACCGGATGTAGTATTATGTTACTTAACAAAATAGGAGTTGACTTTTTTGATAATATATTGAACACAGTTTTCAAATATATGTTCTTCAATTAAACAATGTCTTTATTATGTAATATTTCCATTGAACATTCATGCAAAAACTGAATAATAAAGGTATAAAGATCTGAATCCATTCATAATATATATATCCGGCATTTATAAGAAGATAGACGAGGAGCATGAGTTTGAATAGTCTAAAAATATTAAATTTATAAGATATTTTAAAATAAAACATAAAATAAAATGACATAGTATTCTTGGCTGTGAAAAAATAATAATAATTTACAAAAAGAAATTATTGGTGAATAAAAACTTCAAAAAAAATCTACGCTCAGCTGTTCCCAAGGGACATACGATACGCCGTTGCTAAGCTTTTTTTAGATTTGGTCAAACCGTTGCTGGGCTTCAATTAAGTTCAAGATTATTAATACTCAGCAGCCCAGAGCCTGCATTTCCATTTTCCGGTATTCTTTGATTGTGAATTTGTGATCGCATTTTTTCTCATGTTACTTCAAAATTTTCGGCCAAAATCATGTCCCTTCAATTTTTTTGGGTAAAATGTTCCTTCAAATTTAATCACCACTGAATCTCGACGTAGAAACTAAAATGATTCGAGCTGTGATGAGTTCTTGCATATTAAAAAAAAAAAAGAGGGAGGAAAAATGATTTATTTTATGGGTGTTATTTCTTATGTCATAAATTGAATTTTTTGAATTTTTATTTTGAAGGCACTAATTATTTATTTTAAACATAAAAAATATTTTGATTATAGTAGTTAGGTCATTAATACATAATAATTTTAAATGATGAATTTGGAGCACACAATTTACAATTTTTCATTACCTTGTTCAACGATGTTTGGTGTTAGGGGTAACACGAAATTTAATAAAATTGAAAAAACTAAAATAACATTTACATCAAGCGTAAGGAATCAAATGAACACTTTTGATTTACTTTTTGTAGCCAGAAAATATATGCTTCAGTTTTTTTTAAAAAAAATTTATAGCCCAACTGATACTAAACACTTCTTTTCAATTTTTAAAAGATGAAATGGAGGGCTTGTGGTGTGAATTATAAATATGTCAAACTCAGTAGGAAATTTATATTCTTAAATTAAAATAATCGTACAATACTAGTGATGGATGGGGGATTTTGTTCCTAATTTTTCAGAAGTAAAATAATTTTTATTTGCATCTAAGGTTCATAGGTCCTTTCTTCCCGTACCCCTTCTATCCTAAATACAAAACTTATTTTATAATATAAATTGTTCTATATTCTAAATATAATATTCATGTTACAGTGCAATTGATCGGAGAAGTAATATATAACTTCTTGCTTTACACGGGATATTAAAAATTGCAAGTAATTAATGGTTAGTTAAAATTACAGTCGTACCCATTGAATATGTGAGAAATTAGACATGCAAGATAATATTCTTGAGGCGAAAGTGAAAGGTACTTTGTCATCCCATCTTATTTCATACTCTTCCGGTATTAAATATAAGACCTTTATATACACTAGTATAAGGGTGCTATATTTATGACTGAAGGAGTATTTAATTATTTATAACATGATGGTATTTTTGCACAGTACAACTAACACTGGTTGACCTGTACTATAATCTAATCTAATGTCATGAAATACAAGTGGAAGGTCCTGAGTCCGCTCATACTGGTAATCTCATATTACTATCTTCGGTGCTTAACATGAAAAATTGGATAACTAATTTATAAATATCAAAAAATTAGTTAAGTTAGTTATTTATAATAAATAGATGTGTATTTTTTAAAATATTCCTATTGATTATGTGCACTGTCTTGACAAAAATTTCTTAACATGTACAATCATTATAATAATTATTTGGGGGCAAAATGGTTAAATACTACCACTAATTCTTAATGCAAAACGCTGTTAATTAATTTGAGAAAATAAAAAAATTCAAAAATTACTTAATTATATTACATATTACATTATCTTTCTAAAGTACTTATATGTATTATTAAATTACATATCGGTTTATAAGTTTTGGGCAAATTATTTTGCAGAAAAATGAGAAATATAATACTTTAAAGTAATTTATTTAACTTTATTAATCTCTTCAAATTAACCAACTGTATCTTATATTACCAAAAATAGTATTAGAGATAAAATAAATTAAAGTCTTATATTTCAATATTTAAAAACAAATTTAATTTTTAAATAATTCTTGTATTAAAAAACGGAAGAAGTGTACGTCCTTTTTACAAAACTTTTTAGCCCTCATAGATAATTTTTACAAATATGAGGTTTTTATTGCACAATATGTCTTCCGCTGGGTCTCCGGTAGAAATTTTCCCATCCATATTGCTAACTTGGGGCACCAAGTCTCGCGTTCTTCTTTTCGGGGGTGTTTGGCAAAACCAAAACCTAAGTTTCAGAATCACTTTTCCGCAAAATGAGGTAACCTCCTCCACATATTTACTTCGTAATCCGTAAAAGCACTTCTGAAACCATGGTTTGGTTTCTATCCAAACACCCCCGAAGTCCCACCGAGTTCCTCCCCAGAAAGTCGAAGTTCAGGAAATTGAAATAACACTGCTCTTTAAAATAATCATGTCATCATTGATTATTCTATATAAATTTTAAATAAGATTTTTCCTGGAGATGTAAAATTTCCATGACCTCTACTTATATGTCATATCATTGATTATTTAATTTTTTGGTCATAATCGGTGGAATTTCGTAGTAACACAGCTCTTGATTTATTTAAATTATAGAATCACCAACTAAACAAATACGGCTTAATGATGGTATTATATATTTTGTCGAACAAAAAAAAATAGCAGTATTAATGTATTACATATTCCCATAATTCCGTTGGCTCACACATGCGGCGCCCACAGGGAAAAGTCCACCGGCTGTTTTCTGATTCATCTCTCAATAAACTGTTTTTCGATAACTATCTTTTAATATATTTTAATCTTACACACGCACACACACGAAGTATTTTCAACTTAATCTTTCATAATATTATTATTCACGATCTAAGAAAATTATCTTTTGAATGCAACATTGAAAAGATGTGTGCTTTTTACCAGTTTGATGAAAGAACCCCATTACGATAACTTTATTTGCGAATAATTATAGTAAAAGAATCATAAATCAAGAATTAGTTTTTTTGGGCCAAAAAATAATAATTACTTTTCTGGTCCCATTTATAAGGTACTTCCAACATGTTTTACACAGACCAAGAAAAATCTTAAACTTCATTGACTCTCATTTAAAATTTAATGACGTTCTCACTTTATCCTTATTTAATATGCATTATACCTTATATAAAGAAAGTCAACACTATAACAAAATAAGGGTTAAAATTGTATATCGATACAAAAAATTTCTCTTAATATCTTATAAATAAGACTAAAAAGTATTTTTTCTTTTTTTGCTCTATAAACAGGATAAGAGGAGTAGTCCAGAAAATAATTTTACAAAAAAGTTTATAAAATTTTCCGTTTCTTTAAAATTATATATAGTGGTTAGTGGCGATTATGGTTGACCCCAAGGCATGAAGACCCCGTGGTGGACAGCATGATTTGACATTCGAAGCCATTTCATTGGGACAGCGTACGAGAAATCCACATCGGTAAGGTCGTTCCGCATCCTTATCAAGAGACGGGCCCACCACAACGATATTTTAGTCCTTCGAAATATAATTACTTGCGAAAATTTGCGCCTATATTTAAAATAATTCAGGCCCCAAAAAAAACACATAAACTGGACATGATTTTCTTAATATAAACCAGACAAGATTTTTGTATTTTTTTAATTAAAATGTATATTGTATAGAATTCAAAATGAGATAATAATAATAGGTTTGAAAAGTATAAGGTTGGACTTGTTCTTTTTTAAGTGTTGTATGACGCAGACGTGGATAAGGTTTTCCATATCGTGGTTGCAAAGTTGGTGACCAGACAATAAACGAACTCCGCACACAAGAAAGAATCAAACTGCCGGCAACTTCTTAGTGGTTCTCAGCTCAGGGAGTATAATTTAGCTCTGCCTTATAATTATACTATCCGAGTAATGCACTAGCCAGATAAGAATTAGAAATATTTTCTTTTAAAATTCCAACACTTCATTGATTTTTCTCATTATCTGCTAAGAATCCAAAGCAACTTAAACACGTCATTGGTAACTCAATGCCTTTCAGCAAATCACACTCAACGCTGCAACTTCCTGGAACTATCCTTATTTAATATTAGAAAAGGAGAAAAAAAAAAAAAGAAAGGAATACGGAGAATTATATATGGATTGTGTGAACGTAAAGGATCATTATAAAAGTGGATAAGTAATCTGCACGACTTTACACAAGCTGGCGAGAGCCGGACGGAGACCCCGGAATGAAAACTTCTTTTATTAATATTATTTTATCGGATTACTTGTTTCACAAATGAGCCAGGGTGTCTGGCTTAGCTTTTTATGAATGTAGAGTTGTCGTCTTTAAGATTTGTTTTAAAAAAGAATTAAAAAGATCGATGTAAGCAAGGAACAATCTTCCAAGAAGATAAACCACAAAAAAGGAAAATCAACCAAGGAAAATAGCATCAAAATAAACTATCAGGAAACATTCACATCAATCAGTTCTTTCTGCATAAAAAAATTTTGTTTTTTCTAAGTCTAGAAAAGTCATATGTACTTTTTAAATTATATTTTTTGGGAACAAAATTAAAACACAACATTTTATCTTTGAAATCGTTTGGAAAAGGGTTAAGGTGCGTCCAGCATCTCGAACTATTTACCCAGGTGTGTCCAGTGGCCTAAAGTAATTTTAGATGCATCCAGTATTCTAAACTAATTAAAATGGTGCGTCCATATCCCAAACTAACAGAAATGTTATGTTTAACTGTTACTTTCTTGACTCAGCGTAAAGTTGACCCCAAATATTCTCAATGGCAGACATATGAACATTTGATGTGTATTATTCTTACTCAAAATTGAATTTATTTCCTTCCTCTTCTTCTAGATAAATTGACTTTTGAGTAAGAATAATACACATAGAGTGCCTATGTGTCTGTCATGTAGAATATCTGAGGTCAACTTTAAGTTGAGTCAGAAAAGTAACAGTTAAATATAACATTTCTGTTAGTCTGGGATATGGACGTACCATTTTAATTAGTTTAGGACACTGGATGCACTCAAAATTACTTTAGGCCACTGGACGCACCTGGATAAATAGTTCGGGGTGCTAGACGCACCTTAACCCTTTGAAAAATTCAATGTGAAGTGAAGAGAAGACAGAAGGGGATCAGGAGAAAGAAATCAAATCACATTATACCAGCAAGGGGAAAAAAAGAAGAAATCAAATTACAGCAAATTCGGTGTGAGGAGCCAGTTGCACGAGCGGATAAGTACTGGTACCTACCCCTCTGCCTCTTCCCCAATTTACCAAAACGGGGAGGAATAATATTAGTTTATGTCCAAATAAGGCAAATGTTCATTTCCCACTAATGTTCACAATTTATCAGTGTAAAAAAAATCGGACCGGACCGGCCGGTTCAACCGGTAAACCGGTAAACCGGTCAGTGGTCCGGTCCGGTCCATAAGTTAAACCGGGGACCGGTTCAAACCGGATTGAACCGGTCAAACCGGTGTGAACCGGTGAAAACCGGTAAAAACCAGTATGAACCGGTATTGAACCGGTTTAAATAAATATATTGATATTTATCCTATTTTTTCTCATTTAACTCATAATATCTCAATTATTATAGATTTAAATGAATTTTGATGATGAGTTTGGCATCAATAACTATTAATTTTAGTTATTGAAAAAATTATAAATATCAAAATTCTCAATATTGTTGTACTTTATTATTATTACAATCAAATTCTTATTGTATTTCTTTATATTTTGTTATTAGTAATTATTATTATTGTTATATTTTGTCATTTTTAATTAAATTAAATTATTTTAATATGACCGGTTTGATCCCAAGTTGACCCCGGTCTGACCCATTAACCCTTGAACCACTACCTCAACCGGTTTAGTGTCCGGTCCGGTTTTTTGTTCCTTGCAATTTATTCCTCTCTCCTGTTATTTTCTACTAAACATTATCCTCTGCCTTTTTTTTTTTTTTAAGACACCATCCTCTCCATTTTTATGCGAATAAAAAGATGTTGGAAGATATCTTCTTGGGAAAAAAACTAATGTGCTGGATCCAAAGGACTCGTTGTCACTAAAGGCGGGTTTTGATCCAATACCATGGGCAAATTCTTAGTTAAACTATTTTTTTGATGAGTATTAATTTATATCTATATTCACGATAAAAACCCACAATTGTTTTTTTTTTACCTTGTTATTACGTCCTTTTTAACTGGTTTTAATAATGTTATTCGCATCGCATTAGTTCCGGCGTCTCAATCTCTTTCTTTCACGACCAAAAAAAAAAACAAACCTGTTCCTTCGGTCCTTACCAATAAAAAGCTGCAATTGCATTTCTGCGATTCAGCCTGTTCCTCCGGTTCTCACAACTCATCAAGGTCTTTCTTCTCTTTCAAGTCTCCTGCTCTCTTTGTTTGTTTTGTTGGAGAGCTAATGATTATCTCCTTATTCGATGGCATCCTTTGCTCGCGCTTCACTTTCCGTGCATGATGCTTTTGCATTGCGTTCTTGAATTATATCTGTATTTTAATTTTAACTTCAATGTTCGTATTCGTTTCTTCCCTCTTTACTCTTCGAGACTACCTGCACTTTAGCAAGCGCGAATTTACTTTTTGGTTTTGTTGATTCTAAGGTTTTGCTGAGACTTAATGCTTCTAAGTTTCTTTACCGACAAACTGAGTGTTAGGGGAGTGTTAGGGTTGTCTTGTGCTTGCTTTTTGCTACGTGATCTTAGGACAGAGCATCAGTGGTAAATTGTGTCAGAGTTTTACCTTGGAAGAGATAAATTATTTTACAATTTTTTCCCTTCAATTTTGCTTTGGTTATATCGTTTTTTCTTTTCAATTTGTTGCTTAGAGCATTTCACCCTTTCCAAAGGACAGAGAATCCGAGTTTCGGCTCTATCTTGTTTCGAGTCTTTCTAAACTTCGAAAAGTCTGTTTCTCTTCAATTTGGTGCTTAGAGCATTTCACCCTTTTTTCCAAAGGACAGAGAATCCGAGTTTCGGCTCTATCTTGTTTCGAGTCTTTCTAAACTTCGAAAAGTCTGTTTCTCTTCAATTTGGTGCTTAGAGCATTTCACCCTTTTTTCCGAAGGACAGGGAATCCGAGTTTCGGCTTTATCTTGTTTCGAGTCTTTCTAAACTTCGAAAAGTCTGTTTCTCTTCAATTTGGTGCTTAGAACATTTCACCCTTTTTTTCCGAAGGATAGGGAATTCGAGTTTCAGCTTTATCTTGTTTCGAGTCTTTCTAAACTTCGAAAAGTCTGTTTCTCTTCAATTTGGTGCTTAGAACATTTCACCCTTTTTTTTCGGAGGATAGGGAATTCGAGTTTCAACTTTATCTTGTTTCGAGTCTTTCTAAACTTTGAAAAGTCTGAGCTTTATCTGGTCCCAAAAAAATTCTGAGCTTTATATTTGGTTTGTATTGATTTTTAAAATAAATAAAATAGAAAGGAATTTGGTTTGAATTAGGCCTGCTACGGAGAATGAGAATCCATTTCGTTTACTCGCTTTTTCTATCTTGTGAGTCGTATTTGTCTGATTTTACACCCTATTTGTCTAATTTAAGACTGTGGTTAAGGGAAAGTAACTTTGATTCTGCTGTTATAAGTTAATTACTGCCATTCATTTCGGTTGACACATCTATGATATCTGTTATTAGTTCTGATATTGCTGTTGATCAATTTCTTTCTCTCATTTATCTTAAAAAAGATTTACAATTTCAGTAGTTTATGGTGGGCACTTGACAGTTTTATTACTTCTATTACTTTCCTGAATCAAGTCAAAGCCTATCCGTAAAGGCTTGAAAACAAACACCTGATGCTTCATTTTCTTCCCATCTGTTGAAAGTTTCTTGTAGTCAGTAGTCGCTGTTCTCTTATTCTTGCTCAATGTTGAAAGTATTTATAGCTATATTAGATTCAACAGTATGTCTTGCTGCTTTTTTTTGTTTTTTGGCCTTTCACTGTTCTTGATATGAAAAAATGCATTAAGTCTTGCAAAACTGATCATGGGAATTAAGGAAGTTAAAACAAGGTGGTGCTTGGTAGTGGATAATGCAAATTTGTACCATTTTTTTTTAATGTCGAATTGTGCTAATTGTCTTCAGATTGAAGAATGGGTCAAGCTCTCGGTTGTGTTCAAGTAGACCAGTCGAATGTGGCCATCAAGGAGCAATTTGGAAAATATAGTGACGTGCTGCAACCTGGATGTCACTGCTTGCCTTGGTGTATTGGGTTCCAGATAGCTGGTAAGCTATCACTACGAGTGCAGCAACTTGATGTTCGATGTGAAACAAAAACAAAGGTTTCTGCTGCTTCATTTTTCTTGTCTTTTACGTAATATTATTATGCCACTCGAGTGTGACTTGAAATCATAGATGGTGGGCTAAGGAGTTATGGCATATTTGATAAATATGCTTTACTCAATTTAAAATCTCTGAAGATTGTCTGCATAACTTCAAACAGATTTATGCACAGTTGAAAAATATCTCAATTTATCAATATCAACTAGATTATGTGTTCATTATTTTATGTGTTATATTTTCAACTTTGAGATGAATGAATTTGTTGATATTTTGATTGGTCACTATCAATTTACAGAATAATAATTTTTTTCAGCTGGAGGCATCTCTGTAATTTTGTGGCTATGCTATCCTTTCTCTGCCATCTATCCCTTTTTTCACAATTTTTTATCAATACATTCATGTTTGCAGGCAACTTCCATTCTGCTGGCAATGTATAATTTGTATTAATGATTTGGAAAAATACTGAAAAATCATTTTACTCTTTGTATGGATGTTTATCTCTTATGTGGGTTCTCATGATTTATTGTGAAATTTTTTACTGTCGTTGGCTTCTCAGGATAATGTATTCGTAAATGTGGTTGCGTCTGTGCAATATCGTGCCTTGGCTGAGAAAGCATCGGATGCTTTCTATAGGCTTACCAACACCAGGGAACAGATCCAATCATATGTTTTTGATGGTACGTCAAGTGGGTTTTTGCTACTAAATTCTTGACCTTAAAACATGGATACTACGGTTTCTGCACTAATGGCTGTCGTGTGAAGCACCCTACTTTTCTATGTAATGTTGGATTGCATAATTGGTAATAATGTGGGTTGATTTCCTAAAAGTTGCTAGTATTTGGCATTTCTCTAGTTATAAGGGCGAGTGTGCCAAAGTTGGAGTTGGACTCTGTCTTTGAGCAGAAAAACGAAATAGCGAGAGCTGTAGAAGAGGAGCTTGCAAAGGTGTGGTCATTTCCCCCCCGAATTATTCTTTTCCTTTCTTTATATTTCTACATACTGCATTCAGTATGGGATTATTGAGGGTGGTTGTCACTTGTCAATTGGACTAGTTAAGAAGTCGGCATAATCTTTGTGTTGCAGGCTATGTCTACTTATGGATATGAGATTGTTCAGACTCTTATAGTTGATATAGAGCCTGATGTTAATGTCAAGCGAGCAATGAATGAGATCAATGCAGGTAATAATTTCTAGGTCCTGATGCAGAAAGACTGCACTTGGTAGTTGTTGTGATGTTTGTTAAACTTTGCTGGTTTCTATATTGTTGGATTGCTTTTAATTTGCATTAAGTGTTTGCAGATACTATATTTCAGTATGTTTCTAATATTTGGATTGGCAATTTCTGATATATGTGATTGCACTCTCTGTATCTTGGCATAGGTTCGGTGGAATAAATTTCTGGTAGTGCTTATAAACCTTTTAACGTTTATATCGATGTATTATTGTGACATGTGGATCCATACGGACACCTTTTACTATGCCTACAGAAGCTACTAGACCTATTTATATTGTAAATTTCAATTTTGTTGTTAGATTGTTGTTCTCCCATCTTGAGCCTCTTTCTTTATTTCTTTTAACAGCTGCTAGGCTGAGGTTGGCTGCCAATGAAAAGGCTGAAGCGGAGAAAATACTGCAGATAAAGAAAGCTGAGGGAGAAGCAGAGTCCAAATATTTGTCCGGACTTGGAATTGCTCGCCAACGTCAAGCCATTGTGGATGGGCTGAGGGACAGTGTGCTAGCTTTCTCGGAAAATGTACCCGGTACTACAGCTAAAGATGTCATGGATATGGTGTTGGTGACTCAATACTTTGACACCATGAAGGAGATTGGGGCATCCTCAAAGTCCTCATCCGTGTTCATACCACATGGCCCAGGTGCAGTGAAGGATATTGCTGCGCAGATTCGGGAAGGTCTCCTTCAGGCCAATGCTTCCTAGAATCTGATGAACTGAGCTCTTTTGTAATGGTGAATGGCCAGATATTTTGCATGTCTAGTTTATTTGTGGAATACTTGTGAGTAGATGCTTTATATGTAATTAATAGATCAAGTCAATGCTTCTTTTACTTTGAATAATTGTTTTAGTACTTTGTTTGTACAGCAGATTGTCCATTATACATATTCTTGAGTGCTAATTTGTGCCATCTATGTTTAATTAGGCCTTGTAGATTACTGTGGCGGTATAGTGATGATATTGCAGGGTAGAGTGATAGCGGTACCATAGTATGCCATTCAGGCACACTGCACAGTCAACGGAGCCTTTCCATCCGTGGGCCTGACTTGTGCAACTTGAGTAGTATGCGCTTTCTGTGCTGTTTGATAACACATGATTCTTCATTAAGCTGTTCTTGTACATACTTCCAGTCTGGCTGGCTATCATTTAACCTGGTTTTCAAAATCCAGTTTTTGACAGCAATTTTTATTTCCATTTGCAAAATGTTTGTTGAGTTGTTTTCCATTTTACGAAAGTTAGTTGAGTTACCCAAACAATTCGTTGCGTTTGCAGAAAGTTAGTTTTGCTCTCCAAATTGTTAGTTAAATGCGCACATATTTGTCTTGTATCAACAGATTTGAGGACAATAATGGTTTATATCTCGTTGATTGGTAGCAAGTTTGATCACTCATATGGTGCTCGTTTGGGATTCATTAGAGGTCATGAGATCATTTAATATTGAATTATAAGTGATGTCATTAGTACAAGTTTAAAGGAAGAGTTCAAATTTAAAGGCTAGCCCTTCACGAGGAGGATTTTCCTTTTCTCTTTTTTTTTTTTGTTGTGGGTACAGGTATCTTTCTATTAAAAATAATTCTGTTCGAGATACTGTCAAGCACTAAATATAGGTATTTCTACCAACAGGAATTTGAATCTTTAGTTTTTCCCGTTCGGTAGATTTTCTTCTCAGCTGTATTTGGCCTCTTATCTTCTGTACAATTGTATTTCAATTAAGGCATGTTTCTTTAAGTTTTAAAAAATAATTTTTAAACTGTTTAAAAATTTTATGAAAAAGGATTTATTGCATAGATATCTTATGAAAGAAAAGCAAATTATCTTACGTTTACCTACAATTTACAATCCTAAGAAAATTATTTAGTGATCTTCAAGACGCATCGTCACGCCCACGCACCACGATAAAGGGTAGAATCCTTGACCCCGTGATTCGCAAGTTTATAGTGGTGCCACCAAGGATCTAGGCCACTGACTAGCACATTATCTTATGAAAAAGAATAAAAGAAAAAAATAGGTTGATGTCCTTTCATTATTTTGATGCCCTCCAACCAAGCAAATCACCATAAGGGTAGAGCCGGGAATCAGGGCCGGCCCTTCAGGGCTGGCGGGCTTAAAAGGGCCGGCCCTCCAGGGCTGAAATTTTAAAAATACCCCAATTTGCTAGGCCCGGCCCTTAAGCTACAGGGTCAGGGCCGGCCCGCGGGCTTTTGGCCCGTTTAAGAAAAAATACTATTTTTTATATTTATCATATTTTTTATAAAAATAAATCAATGAAATTATTAATAAAAGACATAAATATGAATAAAATTAAGTCACATATAAAATATCATCATATATAAATATTCATCAACATCTAAAACATTCATTAACAAGATAACAACATCTAAAAGTTTTATCTATAATGCAATTGTGTAATAAATAAACACTATTATTAATCTTTTGAAACTTCATCATCACTATAATTAATTACTTTTCTTCATAAGTATACTTTTCTTTCGTAACAAAAATATCAAGTTTTTCTTCTTTATAAGAATTTTATTTTTAAATTTTGCAATCTAACTATTTTTTTACTTTAATGTGAGAAACATTGCTGTTAAAACTCATGAATTTCTAATTCAAATTATAGAATCACAAGTTATATAAGTATAAAAATATTCTATTATCAAATATATATATATAGTTTAAAAATATCAACGCATATAATATAAATCAAATCATTATTAAAGTCCAAATTAACCCATTTTTTAAAAATTTAATTGGATAAATTATTATCTAAAACTAAATTTACTTTTAAAATGATAATAATAACTAAATATTTGAAATATTATTAACAATGTAAAAAATTAATAATATTAATATTATATAAAAAATTTTAAAAATAAAAAAAAATATAAAAGGGCTTAAAAGGGCCGGCCCGTGGCCCTCCAGGGCCGGCCCTTTTAAACCCTCGGCCCTCCAAGGCCAGCCCTCCAGGGCTTATGTTTCATTTTAAGAGAAAAATATCAAGCCCGGCCCTCATAATTTCAGGGCCTAAAAGGGCCGGCCCGACGGGCTCGGCCCGTTTTCCCGGCTCTACATAAGGGAATGGGAAAGCCATATTATAAATCCCTACATTTTCTCTCAATTTTTAATTTGGTAACTAATGTATTTTTTTCCTCTTAATTACATCATTTAATTTTACTTTTTTAACATTAGTTCTTATATCTTTGTTTTATTAGCATTTTTAATCTCCATATAAAAGTTAACAATATTAATAAAGCAAAATTAAATATTTAATTAAGAGAAAAAACACAGGTATCAATTTGAAAAATTAAAAAAAAGTATAGTATTTTTCAAATAGTTTTTTCCTCAAGGAATTCTATTCTTCTTTTTTTTTTAATTGCCCAGAATATCTTTCCACCTGAATAGTGAGAGACTAATATCTCAAAATACTGTTAGGCACTGTAACGAAGACCCTTCCTAACAATATTTGTTCCATACATACCGCTTCAAGAATCGAATCCAAGACATGATATTTAAGACACCCAAATCTTTTCTACTTAGACTAACACTTGTTGGTTAAAGGAATTCTACTCTCATTCCATGTTGAACAAGGAAATCCATAGCCCAAAACGAGGAATGATTTTCTGATAAGGCGAAGCCCAATCTCCTCAGGGGCCCAAAATATAAACGTAACAGAACAGCACCGTTAAATCCAAGAGGGGGCCTAATAGCTAATGCCCTTCGGAAAATCGTAAGCGAAGCTCAGAGACCCGCGGTTCCGACCAGAAGAAAGACGAAATCACGTTGTCAAAAGTCCGGTTCACATCATTCTCCCCCATACCCCAGCCGCTGGTTATGATCCTATATTTTATATAACTAGGAAGATATCACACCAAACCTAAAGCATCTCAACATGCTAGACTCGCAACGCTGAAAAGAGACATCAAAAGGCAAGATATCTTGCAATTCAAATCTCAACAAGTGTACCCAATCCTCAGTTACAGTGAGGCTTGCAGAGCTTGTTTATATTTGAGAGTAACATTAGGTTTATTAAATAATCTACTAGACATTTTTACCAGGTCGAAACACTCATGCGTGAGAACCATAAACACTTGCTTCCAAAAAGAAAACCAACCTCAGAAAATAAATCGGATGGCATATAACTATATGCTCCTAATGCCTACCGCGGAGATCTTGCCAAGAAAGCTCAAAATTCCTCAGGGCTTGAGAGCCAAGCTCAAGCCAACCTTAGCACTCTTCTCAATGGCTCTCGTGTCTACCTCACCAGAGATGGTCAAGAACGATTTGGGACGCCACTCATGCTGGATGAGGGCACTAGCACTGCCAGAGTTGTTGACACGAGCTTTCAATGTGGTCAATGGATCCAGGGCATGCTGGGTACCAATGGTGAAGGTATTCACGTTAGTTGAGAATCTGTGAGTCACATCAGCACCCACAGCGGTATTGGTCAAGGGGTTGACCACATGGTAGTAAGAAGCATTCAGAGCATCACCTTTATCATTCCTGCACAAATAAATATCATCGTATTGAAAGAAAAAAAAATGTACTCCCAATATTTCTGAAGGAGGTTACTAATATGAACAATAAACAGGTCTATTTCAAATAAGTATCGAACGCACACTCTCAGATTTCACTCAACAGTTATAGGGCCTTTACATGAAAGAATTGTATAGCTATCCTTCTAGTTTTTATAACCAAAACAAGCTCAATATTCTTTCCCTGGTCCCACATGCCAATGCTCACTTGTAGAAGTTGGGAAGAAATACATGTAGGCAGCTTTTCCTTTCCTCCCCCCCCCCCCCCAAAAAAAAAAAAAGCCGTTCTCACAATAGGAGAGGCAGCAGATACTCACAAAGTCAGTGAAGCAATAAAGTCGGCTTTCGTGAAGCTCAATCCAGCATTCAATTTAGTTAGATCCCCACTTTTGGTGTCGTAAGATACATCAGTACCGACAGCAAGGACATTAGTCCCTATAACACCAGAGAAGTTGACAATCGGGCTAGCTGTTAGCCCAACACTTGTGCTTATCCCAGCATAGTCATGCAAGTACTGAAGTTCCACCTGTTCCGGAACCACAAATCAGACAATAAATTCTATTGACAATGGAGGGTGCAAGTGTTCAAGGAATTTTAAAGATTCAATAAGGTTGGGTTTTGTTTCCACATCCATCTACTAACACAACTGTTAAGTATTTCTACAAAAGGTTTGATCATCTCACCTTTCCAGACCTTTGATCAGGAACTCTGAAGCTAAAGATACTCTTCAAACCAGGAGCAGGCTCATCAAAGGTGACTGTGGTGAAGAGCTAAAGAGCACAAGAATTTAATGAATTTTAGTCAAAGCATCTCATATGAATGTAAAGCGAATGAGATGGGACTACTATAGGAGACTTGAGCAAATATAAGAACATTGAGCAACATTATTTCTCCGAAAGATGCCTGAAAGAATATAACTGCTACATTCCATTCACCTGTCTTTCATGTCTAAATAATAAGCATGAATAGATCTATAAGAAATTTAGCATATCCTAGATTTGAGCCACCAAGTACACATGCAGAGGACTAAAGTAATTTTCCCCTAACACGATTACATCTCCATAATCCATATAGTCAAGAAGAGTTCAAATAAATAACATGACAGAAAACATCAAAATAAGAAAAATTCCGAACTATATTCAAGTCCAATCTTTCAAGATAATAGTAAGAATGCATGCAAGCACAGAGATTTTCCAACATCTACACAAGAGTAAAATGAAGAAACATCCTTTAACTCTAGGCCACACTCATTTAACATACAAGTATGGTTCAGAACTCTTTTTAATTTTCAGTAAATTATTTAATTGACCTGTAAACTGATGTGAGGCAAACAAAAATTACTAAGCAACTTCGGGAGTCAATAATTTGCAGTTTAAGTCCCAAATGCAAAGCACTGTTAGAAGCGCTTGAATTAATCAGACGAATCTAAAAGTGAAGGCCGTGCAATCAATTCAATCAGACACAGGATTCTATTTTAAGAAGGATATACTAACATATTGAATCGGCTGAAAACCACTGTGCAATGGTGGTAAAACTCAGATCAATCACCATAATTGAATTTATATTTTGTACAAGACAAGCAAATAAACACCAAGGGAGGAAAAATGTCAAAGGGTAAAGAGGGGGGGGAAAAAAAAAAAGAATGACTGAACAAAGATGCAGAACTTACATTGGAATCAGCATCAACTTTAATATCGGTGGTGAGGTTTCTGTGCTTCAATTGGGTATTAACATCAGCCAAGAACAGGTCACCTTTCTTAGTTCCTGATGATGTTATAACCTGAGATAGCAAATTTAAATTACTAAAGAGAGGTAGAAATGACACTGAAACTGAGTAAGGATGTAAATATTATCGTGTAGGTTGCAAAGTACAAATAATTTTGGAAGCATTAAACTGCATCTAACTCAATATTTAGCGTAATTTGACTAGCATCCATAACACTGCAAAGCATATGCCTTGGTTTATCCCTATATCTTTTGGGCAAGATACACAATGACTTTCATGCTTCTGTAACTAGTATTTGCAATCTCACGTGGTACATTCATCCAAAAGTAACAGAGACATCGAACTGTGTATGTAACTCCCGTGGCTCACCATTTAACGCCAAGAGAAACATGGAAGAAACATGACTATTAGGAAAGAAGCCAGCTCCGACATCTAAAATGTTTCTTAAAACTAACGCTTGGTAGTATGTATTCAAACGCTGTTATGTTCAGTCGTACTCCACAGAAACTAATAGCCACGCCGCTAGAGGATCGTTTCATGCAAATGGCGCTAATTTAAATTTTAAAATACAAAATTACAATCCAATCAGTAAACAAACAGATAAAAAAAAAAATCGAAGAGAATAAACTTAAAACCAAAAGACAATGACAAATAGGTGAGAAATTTATATATCAAAACGCGATAGTATATGGTGTGCAACAAAACTGATGCAGGACTAGACTTGCTATCTATACTTCACTGGAAGAAAAAAGATTCCCAAGAAGATAGGAAAGAAATAAAAAGGACGCCAAGAATCAGGCAAGCTGTTCTTTCACACTACCCTTCGAAACACAGATAAATTTGGCACGCCTCACTCGCATTTGAAAATCGCAGACAGTCGGACCAACAATATAATGCTGCATAGAATATTGAATATCCATGAATAAGGGAAGAAGGAAACTCACAACTCCAGTGGGCGAGTAGGTGGTGATGGAGAATTTCTGGTCGCAGTGATAGTCCTTGAACAGAAGATCTATGACCCAAAAACATATTCAATAAAAGCAACGCGAACAAGAATGGAGGAACACTTCACCGATTCAAAATCATAACCAAAAGCATAGCAACAAATCCAGTGAGAAAAGAGAGAGAGTACCTCTGGCTCTCTTGCCGATGTCAGTGTAGAGACCAGGACCCTTACCCATGGCTAGCTCGAGAAATGGAAATCTGAAATTTTCAGCAAGGGTGCAAGAAGAAGCTCACCGTCTAACAGCCAAAGCGGTGGTGAAACTCACAAAAGCGGGCGGCATATAGATCCCCAAGCCCTACTTTCGTCTTTTTCTTTTTCGAGTGGTTACTGTGACTTGTTCCGGGTGAGAAAAACATGGACCGTTCGATCTAGAAAATTAACCATTTTTCAGCCACCTGTGAGTTGTGACCGTCGGAAAATATATTTCATAATAAAATTACACATATATTATGTAAAGTTTGAGTTTGAATTTAGATATATTTTATAACAAATGTAATATTGCAAGAAATAAAAAAAATCATATATATCCTCCTTCTCAACGTCTTTTTCTTTGTCAAAAAAAAAAACCTTTGAATTTTAAAATTCAAAATCAATCTTATTCATTATATTTTAATAAAATTTAAAAAGTAAATGATAATACATTTTTATAATTATTTCTGATTTAAAATTTTGAAAATGTAAAGGTATTTTTTTAAAAAAAAATCAATTATAAATCATTTTTAATATCAAATTTTCTGTGCAAGAAGTAAAATGGTTAAAACTTGAATGAAATAAACGATTGCAATCCTAAGTAGCTTAAAAATGAGCGCATGTTGTATTTCACATTTATTGGGGTGTTATGCAAGTTTTGGCTGTTGTAATTAAAGTTTATAAATTTGAAATAAGGAAGTTTTATGGGGCAAGAAAACAAAGACATACAACAATTTAGGGTCTGTTTGGTAAAATGCCCAAACCATGTTTTGAACCCAAACTATGATTTGAATCAGAAATTTGCCAAACAGGGAGACAAAAGGACAAACCACAGTTTTGGGACAAAATCAGGGTTTTAAAAGAAGTGAATCTATCCTGTTTCTAGCTTAAATTGGAGAGTATAATTATGCCTGTCAGAGTATATCCCAATAGTAATATGATTTTAATACCCCTCAATTATTTTTCTATAAACATATTTAATCTTATATTTTATAAATATATATACACATATTAATTAATTATTAATTATGTTATCTTATATATTATTAATTATGTTAGTAAAAAATATATTATTAACAATTTTATTTCTTCAAATTAAAATATATTATAAAATCTATCTTTTATATAATTATCATATTAACTATGTTCCTTTTAGTAATTTGCACATATAAAAAGTGCTTCTAATAACAACTATCCAAACACTCTCACTTATTAGAATCACTTTTTCACAAAACCTATTCTTCACAATATCTATTCTTCCAAAAATCTATTTTACGGGGGTGTTTGGGTGATTTTTTCCCAAACACCCTTAAAAAAACCAAAACCATGGTTTTGGGAAAAGCAAAATTTTTTTGCTTTTAGAAAAAAAAAAGGAGAGTGTGAGAGCTTATAGGATATGTATTTTGTTGTTTTTTTTTATAAACATATTTTTTATAAATATATTTAATCTTATATCTTATAAATATATATACATATTAATTATTTATTAATTATTATCTTATGTATTATTAATTATGTTAATAAAAAATATATTATTAACAATTTTATTCCTTCAAATTAAAATATATCATAAGATATATTTTTTCTGTAATTATCATATTAACTTATGCATTTTTTAGTAATTTGTACATATAAAAAGTGCTTCTGATAACAACTATCCAAACACTCTCACTTCTCAGAATCACTTTTTCACAAAATCTATTCTTCAAAAAATCTATTCGCCCCAGAATCTATTCTCCAGGAGCTCTTCTCTAAACTATGGTTTGGTTATATCCAAACACCCCCATCTTATTCTCTAAACCATGGTTTTGTTTCATCCAAGCACCTCTTAGGGGGTGTTTGGCAACTTTCAAAAGTCCTTCTCAGAAGCACTTTTCCGCAAAACGAGATAAATTTTTCCACATATTTATTTCGTAAATCGTAAAAGCACTTCTGAAATCATAATTTTTCCATCCAAACACCCCCAGACAAAAGGCAGTCAGTATACTTTGAAGCCTTCGACAATAAACTGATAAATATTACTATCTCTAGTTATTAATATAATAGCTAATTGAGTAATTTGATTATATTAAAAAAATAAATTAAGTTAGTTATTTGTAATAAATAGATATTGTCTTTTTTAAAATACATTTGTTAATCATGTATATTAACTGCAACTATTATTTAATAAACATTTAACATATGCACCCGCTATAAGGACTATTTTAAAAAATAGATAAATATAAAAAATAAAATAGATTTGAATATTATATTTAAAACCAAATTTAATATAAAATTAATTTTTATATTAAAAATCAAAAGTAGTACAGAATATCAAACCACTCAATTTCAATATATGTGTGTGTGTGTAGAGAGAGAGAGAGAGTGATTGTTTTGGCCATATAGAATATTACTCGAAGGTATTGAATTGTATACCCGCAGCGGCGTAGCCACTCTAGCCAGCTTACAATGAAGGAAGGCAGAAATATGGACAACATGTATTAATATAACAGGGTAAAAATTTGTAAATTACTAGCTTTGGAGCTGGGTCTTCATATAAAAATTAAATAACTAATTTATCAATGTTAAAAATATTAGTTAAATTAATTATTTATAATAAATAGATATTATTTTTTTTAAAAATAACTTTACTAACAATTTTTGCAATCATCACAAATATTACTTTTTTAAGTTGTAAGCCTTGTACTATTAATATCATTTCGCCTTTATCTCCAAAATACAAAAACATCATAAAATTACTTGAAGCAAAATAAAGAAATATAAAAAATAAAGTGAATTAAAATTTTATATCTATATTTTTTCTCATTAAATTAAAATTTTATATCTGGAACTAAATTAAATATCTACTAGGACTAAATTGAATATCTACATAACTACTAGATATTCATAACTTCCTCTAGCTAATGCCTTTCCCTTGTATTCTCCAGTTTCCCGCTTTTTTTTTCCCCCCACTAAAAACAGTTGCTTCGTACAACCACGCAAAACGAATGGTTCATCGCCACAGCATCTGATCCTACAGTAAATTGGATAAAATGCACATCCGATGACATGTTCTCATAAGGGATCGCCAATGTTTAATCTTGTTTAATTCTAATAGTTTTAATATTCTTAATTTTAATAAATGATAAAAGAATGATGTAAAATAAAAATATACTTTATAACTATTAGATTTAAACCAAAAATGAAGTTATTACTTGAAACTTGAAAAATAAAATTTAAATCTCGCCCGTTCAAATTAACACCACATGAAAATAACAAGTGGCGGCAGTACATGAAGAACCTCCAACACAAACCCCTTTACAAACTTCAAAATTCAAATTATAAGGATACTTCCAATCACTGTGCATGAGTAATAACAGGGCGCACACAATCAGCAGGCGGCGTTAAAACGGAAGACGGCTTGGTGATTAGAGGTACCCCGATCGGAAGCAATGTTTATCGACTGTTATTGGATTAGAAAGTGCACTTTTTTTAAAACCTATGACAATGCAGCACCTGACAAACAACTACTCATCTACACCACTTGAACGGCAGGGGCCAGTCGTTATATTCACCTAAACGTGTCTCGCATTGTTTCTAAAATTATCCATCTTAAACTGACGGCCCAACTGGACATCCACAAGAAGACCTACATCAATTTGTCCGTTTGTGTCCCCTTTCCACAAGATGCAGAATTTAACCCGCGCCTGTCGCTTCTAAGCAGAAAGTCCACAACAAATGACGGTTGACAAAAATGAAGAAAAATAAAAGAATGACACAGCAAGATATCTCATTAGATGTAAATGATCTCAACCTACCAAGACTTCATAACGCTGAGAACAGCCATCACAAGGCAAAATATCTTGCAATTCAAATATCAATGAATATCAATCCTCAGTCTAACAGTGAGGCTTCCAGAGCTTGTCCAAATTTGAGAGTAACATTAGGTTTATTAAATCATCTACTAATTATTTTTACCATGTTGAAACAGGCATGCGTAAGAAACACCATGAACACTTGCGTCCAAAAAGAAAACCAACCTCAGGAAAATAAATCGGCTTGCATATAAACCATATGCTCCTAATCCCTACCTCAATGATCTTGCCAAGAAAGCTCAAAATTCCTCAAGGCTTGAGAGCCAAACTCAACCCAACCTTGGCACTCTTCTCAATGGCTCTCGTGTCTACCTCCCCAGAGATGGTCAAGAACGATTTTGGACGCCATTCATGCTGGATAAGGGCACTAGCACAGCCAGAGTTGTTTACGCGAGCCTTCAATGTGGTCAGCGGATCCAGGGCATGCTGGGTACCAATGGTGGAGGTATTCTCATTGGTTGAGAATCTGTGAGTCACATCAGCACCAACAGCTGTATTGGTCAAGGGGTTGACCATATGGTAGTAGGAAGCATTCAGAGCATCACCTTTCTCATTCCTGCACAAGTAAATATCATTGCGTCAAAAAATGTACTCCTTATCATTCTCAGGCTCTCAATAAAACTGTAGCTATCCTAGTTCTAATGACCATAACAAGCTCAAGATTCATTTTAACTGGGCTATATAAAACTTTCCTTGCCCCCACATGCTATGGCTCATTAGTTGGAAAGGAATAAAGGCAAGTCTCACAACAGGAGAGGCAACAATTACTCACAAAGTGAGTGAAGCGATGAAGTCTGGTTTTGTCAGGCTCAATCCAGCATTCACTTTAGTGAAATCACCACTTTTGGTATCATAAGAGACATCAGTACCAATAGCAAGGCCATTAGTTCCTAAAACACCAGAGAAGTTGACAGTTGGGTTTGCTGTCAGCCCAACACTTGTGCATACCCCAGCATAGTCATGCAGGTACTGAAGTTCCACCTGTTCCAATCAGACCACATGTTTTACTGACAATGGCGGTAATCAAAGTGTTAAAGGAATATTAGAGCTTCAAAAAGGTTGGATTTTTGGCTTCTACAGCCGTCCTCTACAAAATGTTTGATCATCTCACCTTTCCGGACCTTTGATCAGGAACTCTGAAGCTTAAGATACTCTTCAAACCAGGAGCAGGCTCATCAACTGTGATTGTGGTGAAGAGCTAAAGAGCACCAACACTAATGAATTTCAGTTAAACGATCTCAAAGGAATGTAAAGGGCGTGAGATAGGAAAACTGGGCTATTAAAAAAATTGCCAAATGTTAATTATTCAAATAATTTATATAGCATCAATTGACACTGGCTATTAACTAAGAAATTACAAAGCCAAAGACCTCGATAAAAATGCCACTTAGAATATATCTGTCACATTCTGTTCACCCATCATTTATGACTAAATGACAAGCAAGCATATCATGAATATCAATGAGCAGGTACGTACACAAAGACATCTAAAAGAACACTTACCCAACATGATAACATGTCCATGCAGTCACGCAAAGATTAAATAATTTTTATCATATAAAAAATAAAAATAAGAGAAAAATTAAAAAATATTAAAATCTAATTTTTGAAGATAATACCAATGATTTCTGCAAAAGAAAAATTGTAAATAATTAAAATCTAATATTTCAAGATAATTGCAATGATCTCTGCATGCATAAAGACATCCCAACATTACCATATGAGGAAAATGGAGAAACATCATTTAATACTGAATTGAGCTCGTATAGGCATTTTGGATGCTGCTATTGTAATAGCCTTTTTGGATTCCGCCTATTTCATAGAGTATTCTACCAGTTTTCATGATAGTTACCAAATATTCCGGTGCTCATTTAAAATACGAGTATAGTTTACAATTTTTTTTTTCAATAACTTATTCAATTGACTCGTGAATTGATGTGATGCGAATAAAGATTATGACTCAACTATGGGAGTAATAAACTTAACAGTTTAGTGCTTGAATTAAGAAGACTCATCTAAAAGTCAAGCTGTGCAATCCATTCAATCAAACACGGTATCCTATTTAACCTAACAAGAAAGATACACCAACATATTGAATCGTCTGAAAACCAAGATGCAATGGTGGTAAAACTCAGATCAATCACCAAAACTGGTTTTATGATTTGTCCAAGACGTGCAAATAAAATAAAAAGGGAGGAAAACATCAAATAACATAAAGAAAGATAAAAAAAGAATAACTGAACCAGGATAAAGTACTTACTTTGGAATCAGAATCAACTTTAATATCAGTGGTGATGTTTCTGCGCTTCAATTGGGTATTAACATCAGCCAAGAAGAGGTCACCTTTCTTAGTTCCCGATGATGTGATAACCTGCCATAGCAAACATAAGTCACTAAAGATAGGAAGAAATGACACTGAAACTGAGTAAGGAATCATTTTGTCAGCATTAAACTACAACACAATATGCCTTTTATCCCTATATCTTCTAGGAAAGACACAGAACGAAATCATGCTTATATAAACCACAGAAATTTAACGCCGGTGTGCTCCGTCGTAATCTACAGAAACTAAATGCTACAGCGCTAGAGGATCATTTCATGAAAGAGGTGCTAATTCAAAACTTAAACAACGAAATTACAATCCAATAAAAAGACCCCAAGGAAAAAAAATGAAAGAAATACAAAGGAAGCCAATAATTAGACAAGCAGGTTCTTTCACACAACCCTCCGAACACAGATAAATTTGGAAGGCCTCTCGCGCATTTGAAAATCGCACGTAGACAGTCGGACCAACAAGATAATGCTACGCAGAAGATTGAATACACATGAACGAGGGAAGAAGGAAGCTCACAATTCCATTGGGCGAGTAGGTGGTGATGGAGAATTTCTGGTCGCTGTGATAGTCTTTGAACAGAAGATCTATAACCGAAAAACATATTCAATAAAAGCGAGGAGGAACACTTCACAGACTAAAAATCCCAACATAGCAACAAGTCCGGAGAGAAAAGAGAGAATACCTCTAGTTCTCTTGCCAATGTCAGTGTAGAGACCAGGACCCTTACCCATGGCTACCTCAAGAAATGGGAATCTGAATTTTTCAGTACAGCTTGAGCAAGCTCACAGACTGATAGCCAAAATGCAATGGCGAGAGTGTGAAACTGACTGGGGCACACAGATATCAAAACCCTAATTTCGTCTTAATTTCTTTTCAAGTGGTTATTGTGACCGCCTTGTGACCGTCGGAAAATAATTTCATGATAAAATTACACAAATATTTTGTGTACAGCCTGACTTTGAATTTAGATATATTTTATAACAAATATAACATTGAAAGAAAGGAATAAAAAACTAATAAGTTTCATGCACATTTTCTTTTTCAATCTTTTCCCTAAAAGTATACACTCATTTTTAATGTCAAAGGGAACGAAGTGGCCAAAAGAGAAACACGGGGCCTTGCCAAAAAAAATGAAAGCAAAGGGTTGATTATTTCGTTATGGGATCATATATGTTTTTAGACACAAGGAGTGTATTCGAAGTCTAACCAGTAAGAAAGTCTAATGTAGGAAGAAAGCAAATAGCAGTAGTAGGCAATTCGAACCTTAATCACTTGCTTGAAAATGGAAGCATATTGTATTCAATATTTGGTGTAATGTAAGTTTCGATTATTGTAACAACGGTTATTTAAGTTTGAAAAAAAGGAAATTTTTCGGCGGTGAAAAAGACAACAATGTAATTCACCAAAAAAAAAAAGAAAAAAGACAACAATGTAACAGCAAACTTCCTCCCATTTCTCTACAACATATGTTGTCGAGCCCCACCACCTTTTTTGGTCCAACAATGAGGGGAAAGAAATTATTCGGCCCTGGTCTCGCGAAGTCACAAGCAATTGGCAGAAGCAAGCAGAATCGGGAATACAAAGAAGAGCAAAAAGCAACGGGTACACTTTGGAGGATTGAACAATAATCCATAAATGACACTCTTCCGATTCTTAATATAAGATATATTTAACTAATTTGATTAAATTAAAAAAGTTAGGTAAGTTAGTTAATTATAAGAAATATGACATGTTTTTTTTTTCTAAAACACTATAATCATCTTCCTTAATATCCATCATTCCTCTTTTACTTGATTATGGTTGATGGAGTATCCATAGTGATAGAGCCGGTTATACGGGAGCCCAGCCTGCCAGCCCACCAAAAAAAAGGGGCTCCGGTTGGCATTTTGTCAGCCCGCCACGGTGCGGGCTACTCTAGCCCACACCGCTTTTGGCCAGCCCGCTTTTTTATTTTTTATTTTTACTTTTTCTGATTTTTTAATACATTATATAATATAATTAGAGGATTTTGACCCTCAAATTTTATATGGACATTACATCATTCATATCATTACATATATAATTAATTAAGCACTTCATATATATGTGTATGGTTATATAAAGAACACCGTCCATCTTTTATTTTTATATCTATTTGTCGTTACTATACAGGGCTTCATAAGATTAGATGAACAGTCATGTGATTCTCATATAGTCATACATACACACACATAAAAGATTTACTTAATTAATTTGGATAAGAAAACTAGTTAAATTAATTATTTATAAAAATATATATGTTAGTTTTTTTTAAATATCTTCTAAAATTATAAATTAATTCTCATTTTTTCATCAAAACCCATTACTCAAGTTTAAGACTCGGAGCCTAATTTCAACATTTCAAACTAAGCCTAACTCATACTAATATAATAGATTTGAAAAAAAAAAATTTAGGCCGGCTAGCAGGCTGGTTGGCGGGCTCGGGCTGGAAAAATGCGAGCCCGCCAAGGTGTGGGCTACTTCGGCCCGCATCTCGGCAGGCTGGCCTGTATCCGCACCGCCAGCCCGCTTTTCCAGCTCCACATAGGGTAATTTAAAAAAAAATGATAAATATAAAAAATAAGTCTTATATTTAGGACCAAAATCAACTCAATAATTAGGTCCTATATTAAAAATCAGAAAAATATTATATATATATATATATATATATATATATATATAAGATTCTCTTGGTCTTGCACGAGAATGGTGTGTTTTTCTCCGTATTACATGAGAGAGTGGGAGAGGGTTTAGGGTTTAGCTTGGGAGGTGACGGAGGGATGACGATGGTGATCGGTGATTGGAAAAGGTATAATGAAGGATCGGAAGGAAGATGAAATGGTGGATGATCAATCGTTGATTAGGAACTTGCAGGATAGGAGTGGCAGAGCCAGAATTGTTTTGGCCAGAAAATCAATAATAGGCAGGAACATGAATCGAATAACAACAATTTCGATAATCCGAAAGCCTTTGATGTGATTACAATCCACATCGAGGTCCGGCAGAATGTATTCCAGTTCGATTCAATGGTAGGGAGCAGGAGAATTATGAGAGGTAGGCCATAGACGATCAATCAGCATCTTGCCAAACGTCAATATCAATCTTCGTCACGACTTCTTTTCCTGTTTCGTTGTCGATTTATTCTTCCATTGTTGATTGGTCTCCCCGTTTCATTCTTTCTTTGTTCGAACTTCCAATGCAGCTTGGCCATTTTCATTAATATTTGCTTTGTTTTGGACCAAGGATTTCCAGTCATGCTATAGATCGTCCGGTACCTTTTTGGTTGAAAAGAAAAACTTCTAATTACATTCTTGGTGATCCACATTTTAGATTTAATCTTGTCTCATCCTTCAATTTTTTGTCGTAATGATCATGCTGAACCTTGTGGAATTGAAAAACTGGCTTTGATAACTACTAGCGAAATCCAAGCGACCTTTATTTAACAACAGTAGGTTTGTTAAAGTGAGGCAGCTCAACCGGTTCTAGAAATGTTCTCAAATCCACTAGTTTTCCCTCATGATCAGACAGGACATGATCAATTCACGCTTCTATCTATTTTTGGCTTACTTCAACTTCTAACAGATGCATAATTTAACCCATGCGTAGGGCTTTTAACCAGATAGCTAATAATAAATGACGGTCCACCAAAATGAAGAAAAATAAAACGACAAAGGCAGACATCCCATCAGATGTAAACAATCTCAAAATGCTTGAGTTGATAACGCTGAGAACGGCCATCACAAGGAAAAATATATTGCAATTCAAATCTCAATGAGTATCAATCCTCATTCTAACAGCGAGGAGTCCAGAGCTTGTCTAAATTTGAGAGTAACATTAGGTTTATTAAATCATCTACCAATTATTTTTAACACGTTGAAACACTTATGTGTAAGAAACACCATGAACACTTGCGTCCAAAAAGAAAACCAACCTCAGGAAAATAACTCGGCCTGCATATGACCATGCGCACCTAATGCCTACCTCAATGATCTTGCCAAAATTCCTCAGGGCTTGAGAGCCAAACTCAACCCAACCTTGGCACTCTTCTCAATGGCTCTCGTGTCTACCTCCCCAGAGAAGGTCAAGAACGATTTAGGACGCCACTCATGCTGAACAAGGGCACTAGCAATGCCAGAGTTGTTGACGCGAGCTTTCAATGTGGTCAGTGGGTCCAGCGCATGCTGGGTACCAATGGTGAAGGTATTCTCATTGGTTGAGAATCTGTGAGTCACATCAGCACCAACAGCTGTATTGGTCAAGGGGTTGACCATATGGTAGTAGGAAGCATTCAGAGCATCACCCTTCTCATTCCTGCACGATTAAATATAATCGTGTCAAAAAATGCACTCCAAATCATTCTCAGGCTCTCAATAAAACTTTATGGGCCGTATAAAACTTTCCTTGCTCCCAAATGCTAAGGCTCACTTGCAGAAATTAGAAAGGAATAAATGTGGACAATGCTTTCCATATCAGTTCTCACAATAGGAAAGGCAACAGTTACTCACACAGTCAGTGAAGTGATAAAGTCTGCTTTTGTCAGGCTCAATCCGGCATTCACTTTAGTGAAATCACCACTTTTGGTATCATAAGAGACATCAGTACCAATAGCAAGGCCATTAGTTCCTAAAACACCAGAGAAGTTGACAATTGGGTTCGCTGTCAACCCAACACTTGTGCATATCCCAGCATAGTCATGCAGGTATTGAAGTTCCACCTGTTCCAGAACCACAAGTCAGATCACATATTTTACTGACAATGGAGGATACAAGTGTTCAAGGAATTTTAAAGCTTCAAAAAGGTTGGATTTTAGGCTCCTACAACCATATACTGACACTAGGTTTCCTGTATCTGTTAAGTACCACTACAAAATGTTTGATCATCTCACCTTTCCAGACCTTTGATCAGGAACTCTGAAGCTAAAGATAGTCTTCAAACCAGGAGCAGGCTCATCAACCGAGATTGTGGTGAAGAGCTAAAAAGCACAAACATTAATGAATTTCAGTCAAACCATCTCAAAAGAATGTAAAGAGCAAGACAGAGGAAAACAGAACAACAACAAAAATTGCCCAGTGTTATTTCGCCGAATAATTCATATAGCACCAATTGACAATGGTTATTAACTGAAAAATTAAAAGGCTAGAGACCTCATCAAAAATGCCACCTAGAGTATATCTGCCAAATTCTCTTCACCCATTGTTTATGTCTAAATGAATAAATGATAAGCAACCATGGGTCTATTAGAAATTTTAGCATATCATGAATATTAATGAACAGGCAAGTACAAGTAAAGATTACTAAGAGTGCTCTTCCAACATGAAAATATCTCCATGTGGTCAAGCAAAGATCAAATAATTATTATCACAAAAAATAAAAATAAGAGAAAAATTCTAAAGAATTAAAATTTAATATTCCAGGATGATGGCAAGGATCTCTGCATACACAAAGACATCCGAACATCGCCACTAGAGGAAAATGGAGAAACATCCTGGAACTTTAGGCCATGCTCATTCAACATACAAGTATAGTTTAGAATTTTTTTCCCCATAGGTTATTTAATTGACCTATAAATTGATGTGAGGCGAATAAAAATTATTAGTCAACTATGGGAGTAACAAACTTACAGTTTAAAAACACTGCTAAAAATGCTTAAATTAACAAGGCTCATCTAAAAGTCAAGTTGTGCAATCCATTCAATCAAACAAGGTATCCTATTTAACCTAACAAGAAAAATACACCAACATATAGAATCCTCTGAAAACCATGATGTAATTGTAGTAAAACTAGACCAAAACTGGCTTTACAATTTGTAGAAGACACGCAAATAAAAAAACAAGAGAGGAAAACGTCAAATAACATAAAGCAAGATTAAAAAGAATAACTGAACAAGGATACAGGCCTTACTTTCGAATCAGAATCAACTTTAATATCAGTGGTGATGTTTCTGCGCTTCAGTTGGGTATTAACATCAGCCAAGAACAGGTCACCTTTCTTAGTTCCTGATGATGTTATCACCTGAGATAGCAAACAGAAGTTACTAAAGAAAGGTAGAAATGACACTGAAACTGAGTGAGGATGGAAATATCATCATATAGGTTGTGAAGTACAAGCCATTTTTGCCAGCATTAAACTACACCTGACATGATTATAGCATAATTGACTTCAATCCAAAACATTGCAAAGCATATGCGCTGGTTACCCCGATATCTTTTGGGCAAGACACAGAAAATAAAGGCTACAACGCTAGAGGATCATTTCATGAATGTGGTGCTAATTCGAATTTTGAACCACAAAACTACAATCCAATAAAAAGACTCCCAAGAAAAAAAATGAAAGAAATTCATAGGAAGCCCCGAATAAGGCAAGCTGTCTCCGTCACACAACCCTTCGAAACACAGATAAATTTGCCAGGCCTCACGCGCATTTGAAAATCGCACACAGACAGTAGGTCCAACAACATAATGCTGCATAGAAGATTGAATATACATGAAGGAGGGAAGGAGGAAACTCACAACTCCGTTGGGCGAGTAGGTGGTGATGGAGAATTTCTGGTCGCTCTGATAGTCCTTGAACAGAAGATCTATAACCGAGAGACATGTTCAGTAAAAGCAAAACGAAGACGAAAGAGGAACACATCAAAGATTAAAAATCCCATGGACAAGCACAACAACAAATCCAGAGAGAAAGGAGAGAGAATACCTCTAGCTCTCTTGCCGATGTCAGTGTAGAGACCAGGACCCTTACCCATGGCTGCCTCAAGAAATGGGAATCTGAAGTTCTCAGCACAGCTAGAGGAAGCTCACAGACTAATAGCCAGGGCGGTGCACTGCTGACCAGGGCAGATGAGCACCGAAACCCTAATTTCCTCTTAATTTCTTTTCGAGGGATATTCCGTTATTGTGACTTATTCAGGAGGAAAAAGACATGGGCCGTTCGATCTCAAAAAATTAACAGATTTTCAGCCACTTGTGAGTTGTGACGGTCGCAAAAAATATATATTTGATGGGAAATTAGGAGATATTTTATAATAAATATAATATCCTTTTTTCCTCCAAATATAACATTCAAATAATATTGTAAGAGAGAAATAAAAGAAAAAGACGTTTTTTCGCCACTCAAATCTTTGATGCGGAAGACGTTAAATGGTAAGGAGTAAATGGAGCCACCTTTGTCGGGATGCTGCATTTTAATGTACCCCCGGTTTAAGTTTTGATTTACTAGTTTATTTGGATTTTTTTGCCACTCAAATCCGCTGAGTTTTTTTTTTTTGGTCCAAAAATCCGCTGAGTTTAAAATCCAGAATTTTACGGGAAAAAAAAAAGATAACAACATAACTGCAATTCTGCAACTTACACTTCTTAATATAAGAACTAGTTGGATAATTTAAATAGATTTTATTTATTTGTAAAAATCTGTGTTATCTTTCTTAAAATATCCTTATTAATTGTATTAATTAGAACTATCATTATTACAAGAACTATCTTAAAAAATAAATAAGTATGAAACATAAAATGAATTAAGGTCTTATATTTAAAATCAAAATAAAAATCTAACTGATTTTTATATTAAGGATTTCTATTTTTTTTTTCTTTTTTTCCTGCCAAAAGAAAATGTAGTTTGGCCCCGATCTGTCCATGCAAGAAGCAACGGGGGAAAAAAACAAGCAAGTGGCCAGAGCATTGAGAATCAGAATACAAAGAAGAGGAACAAGCAATAAGGATACTTTGATGGCTTTTACATATATTGCATGTGGTCTTAATTATAAGATATTATATTATAAATAAAGTCTTATAATTATAATTAGAATTGAAATAATAGTATAATTTATATTACAAACTAAATCTTATAATTAGAATAGAAGAAAGGATAATGTTGATTATAAACAAGATGTCAAGTCATTATCATATCTATCAACATACATGCAATGATACTATTCAAAGGTTATAAATATTACCCATATAATCCTAAATATAATACTTATTTTATAACGTAAATTATATTGTAAGATAGGTCTTATATTTAGAGTCGAAACAGTATAATTGTAACCAATCTACTCAAATGATAATAAAGGAAGAAATATCACTTATATTAATATGTGAACGAGGTGTTGGAATATTTGTATTACAGATATTAAATTAATACTTGTTCTGGTTTTTAATATAAGAGTTATTTAACTAATTTGAGTGGATTAAAAAAATTTATTAAGTTAGATATTTGTAATAAATAAGTGTTATATTCTTTAAAATACCCTTACTAATTATATGTATTAGTTAGAATTACTATTATATAACTACTACAAGGACTACTTTAAAATAAATAAATAAATATAAAAGATAAAGTGGATTGAGATATTATATTACCTCCGGTCCTTAATATAAGAGTTTGTTCGAATTTTTTTATTCCAAATATAAGACCCTAATATATTTTGTCTCTCAAATTTATCCTTTTTTTTTCAAAGCAGTTCTTGTAATGATGATAGTTCTAACAAATATACTTAATTAGTAAAAATATTTTAAGAAAACAACATCTATTTATTACAATAAATAACTAACATGATAAATTTTCTTAATCTATTCAAATTAGTCAAGTAGTTCTTTTATTAAAGACCAAAGATAATATTTAGAACTAAATCAAATATCAAGCTAGTTCTTATATTAAAAAATATATAAAAATTATAAGTGACTTTGATGGCAATTGAATCATGGATGTCTTCGAGAATCAATAAGCATTTTGCAGCTGCAAATGACTGATTTGCTTCCGCCCAGCTGTGAGAAGTGCTCGAGGTTTGGTACCGAGGCCAGATATCTTCGTAGACATGATACTCTTGAAAATACGGGAAAAAAAAAGAAAGAAAGAATGAGCTGCACTAAAATCAAAGCAAACAAACAGCAGAAAAGTTCAGTGTGATTACAAAGAGATAGAGAGAGAAAATCCTTGTATGCATTTCATCTGCTTTTTCTTGAATGTGTAGGTATTTCGCTGTGTGGTATGTACATAGATACATCGTACAAACAGGGGAAAACAGTAAAAAAAAATTAAAAAAAAAAAAAACTCTCCGAGCTTTAATTTGGCAGTCTTATACATTCCATTGTGCAGTTCCACACCAACTGGCAAACGAGAAGTCTGGTATTGTTCAGCACTTCTAAAGTCACAAGCCTAAGAGGAAATAGTAGGCCAGAGCTATGGGCAAGGAAATGAGCAACCCCAGGATGACCCTGTCACCAAAACAACGTTAACTAGCTTCAAATCTTACTCAACCTGGCTATGTAATGACACTAACAATCAAGCTTATAAATGAGCCAAGGCGCATTGAGCCATATTATATACCCAGTGCTTAAAAGAGCTGGATGCACGTTATACTCGTTGGCAAACACAAAGGGAACAATTCCTTGAGGTAGAGCAGCCTGCACTCAAACAAAACCCCACTATATTATATCTATCTTCGCATGATCTGAAACAGTATAGAGAAATATAAAGACAATTAGATCACTTGAACAATTGCAGCTTTCAACAACGTGTCTCTTAATCCTACGGCAATAGAAGCCACAGCCATTATGGTAGGCCCCACCAGGAATTTCAGTCCCATTGTCACCACTGCCATCTTTGTCCCACAAGCTATAATGCTAGATTGTGATGCCATGAACAAACCTGTTTGATACATTTCAAGCATGGGCGAGAGTTCAATTGGGTCAAAAAAATAACGAGAAAATGCACATAAGTGGACAAAGAAAAATTAATGGAGGTTTGATTTCTTACCCAGACTGAACATTGCCATGCCGAGACCTCCATTAGACAATATGACTATTGATTGTTTAACAACGGAAGGCATGTGTATGCCCCACCTGAAACAAATCTGAACTTTATATGGCTGTCTTTATGTAAAGAAATATCTATAATAATTTCCAATGTTCTTACCTTACCTAAAGTGTATGGCTGCCCAAATCAAACCTGTTAAAGTTCCATAGGTGTTAGGATTAGTGATCAACTTTTTCCCCACTGTTGACAGAACGAGCAAGATCTTCCTTTTCTTTCGTCTTGTGCGCCCTGCTTCTTCCTCTTCTTCTTTAGATTGTTCTTCCTCAGCAGGCTCCGCTTCTCCTTCAAGCAGAAAGCAAGAAGTGAATGGGAGAAGACGGAATGGACATGACTAGCTGAATCTACTAATCTTTGAGAGGAATAAAAAAAATTACTGGTGGAATCTATTTGACACAGAAGAAATCCAAACAAAACAAAGAGCTTCTACCTGAATAATAGACAAAGAAAGAAAGCGAAGGAACAGAAAAAACAGAGAAATTAAAATGCGTTGAGGGCCCACTTTGATTGATTGTCATAGATTGCGTAAGTTGACCGAGAAAGAAGCATTGATCAAAGCGATAAAATAAGGGACATGGGATAGAATTAGACCTCAAGAAACAAAACTGTACATCTCCTATATAAGTTTTGCATTGAGAATGAACCTGAACCTTGCGATGATGACGATGGAGTAGCAAGAGACATGGTATTTGCAGCATCGAGCTCATAGAGAAACAAGAGCAAATTATACCAGATCACGCTCTGCAACACAATAATCTGGGCAAGGATAGAAACTTGATCTCTATACATGGCGGTCAAGAGGGGAATCCCCAGGATCAAAGTGTTAGGAAGTGTGGACAATGAAAAACCAGAGATGATACATTTCAAACCTCCTCGACCACTGATCTTAGCAAAAGCTGCTATGGCAAGAACAGAGAGAAATTTCTGAAGAAAGTCGGCGTAAATGATCTTGAGGCTTATCCTGTAGAGATTGTAGGAAGAGACGACTTGAAAAGACAAGAGAGGAACAGAGAACTTAGCCACAAACTTGTTGATGCCAGAGCACTGATCCGGGGTGAAGAGTTTCCACCATTTGACAGAGACGTAGGCTAAGATCATGGTAACGTATAAGGGGACTGTGGCTGAGACTACGTGAAGCACATCGCGTGAGGAAAGCATGGTGGGTGGCGGTAGGGGTTCAAGGTTTTAGGAGGACACGGGCAACTTCGTAGGCTCTTTCGAGGTTTCGTTAGGGGCTATTTGTTTTTGAATTTTTAACGACAAGGATTGAAGGAATATTGTCTGCTTTAGTTGAAGCTCGCTTCTGCAGAGGTTTTACTGTGTCTTTTTTTAATTTTTGGGAGCAACTTAATCAGCCGTGTCGGACTTTGAATATTTGTCGGTAATTCTTCGTTAAGTTCTTTCTCTGCATAAAAATGAGTTGTAAATGGTAGTTTTCAAATAAAATCATTTATTAATGTTTGTTAATATTTATCATAAATGCATCAAGTTCTCTGCCCCCCCCCCTCTCTGTTTTTGTTCAGATGCGAAAATTATACTGTGGAAGGAGAGTGGATAGATTATATTAACTCAGTAAAAAGTCATTACTAATTATATATATTAGTTAGAACTACCATTTAATGGAAGTTTTAACAAGTGCAATTATTGCAAAAACTACATTAGATAAAACAGATGAATACGAGAGGCAAAATAAATCAGGGTCTTATAATTAAAATTAAATTAAATGTCAAACTAGCTCACTTATATTAAAGACTGAAGGTAATATATAATTATAGTCAACATGATTTGTAATATTTAGATGGAATAATATATAAGGAAAACCTTAACGTTGTGTCTTAAATCCATTTTCACACCACACTGCATCCTAATTATGTGAGATTAAATCAAAAGAGAGTTTATTATGAATAAAACAAGGGAGAGTGGGTATTTTTGTCCACACGAGCTTTCAAACCAGGAAGAATCCTATTTCCTTCTTAACTTGGTCTTTCGTTTCATAGGTTCTTTAGCAAAGAAGACCTAGCTAGCTAGCAAGCACCCATTGCATAGCCTGGGAAGTTCATGTCATCAATAGTTCTATTTGTCTTTCTTAAAGCAGAGAACTGAAAATGGAAACTCAGGCAAGCAAAAAAACAAAAAGAAGAACATCCCTATGGAACACATACACGTACACTTGGACAATGAACGAGTGTTGGTTGAATTTGATGTTTGTCTTTTGATGGATTGAATGAAGACTTTTTCAGAGGTGATGAGAATAAAGAAGTGAATTGCGAGGGAAGTAATGAAGGATTAAGAACAGTGTGAGGAAGAATAGTTTCTAATTTCAGTCAAAAGCGTGAGAATAAGTGTTGCAGCGGAGAATCTGCTTTTCAAAATGTGAATTTTTTTGCCATAAAAGACCAGTAATCTCTTTCTTCAGGTTGTCTTCAGATGCGGATATAACAGCCCGTTCCTTCAAAGCTTTTTTGGCTTGCCTTCTTAGTGATCCTAAAGTTCAAAATGATCTATGCCTCTTAATTAATACTGATGATGATTAGAGTATCAGGCCATCATACAACTTTCTTCGAGTAATATGGTTATTTCCAAAATGACGATGTTAAATTGTACTCATATTTTAACTAATGATTTGATTCTTTCGGCATGATTCTCTTGCTTTAACTACCACATGATTCCTCTTCTTTGGATCCAATTCTTTACAGATCAATAAAATCTCCCAATTCAATATCTTTCATAAATGATTTACACACACACATGTCAAGTCAAACCGGTCACATGCACAAGCAAAATTAGAATTTCACATGATGGTTCTTGTAAAGTTATATATCAAAGTACTACTCCTGTTCTAATTATAAGATCTTATCTGTAGTCTATAGACGAGGTCTTATAATTAAAACCAGAGGTAGTTTTTTTTCCCCGATTCCTGAATGACATTGAATTTTAATAAATAAATAGCGTACTAATTAGATCAAAATTGCAGGCTTTGGTTTTTTTTCCCCCCTGGCGAGATTAACTTAACATGTAAGCGAACGCTTGTGTCTTTAATCCACATTTTTATTGCATAACAATAAGAATATAAAATATTTATTGGTCTACGGAAAGCAACGCCGAACGTGAAAAGCTGTCATTCATAGCTAGGAATCTTGGCCCTCAAATCCCTTTACCGTTAGATTGTTTCAAGAAAAGAATGATTATGTACGACTATTACCTTCCTCTTTCTTTGCCATAGATAAAATGAGCTAGATTATTATATTCATCATGCAGTTTTTTTTTGGGGGAAAAAACAGCGGCCATGGATCAAACCATACAAAAGGGCGTAACATTTACGTATGGACATGATACTATATAGTTCTTCAAGCATAAGGTCAAACCAATACAATACTATCCTGGACATTCTTGCAGTGAGCTTAATGAGATAAACCCAGCCAATGTGATTTATATAGATTTCTTTTTTCTTGTACACAGATAAAAGAATAATACTATATCTAGAATCCGTGTCAAGATTATCTGTTTATCTGCTGTGATAAATACCATATGAGGCTGAACTATGAAAAGATTTTATGATGAATTATATTTAAAAGCATGTGATTATTTTATTATTGTTAAAAAGATTGATAACAAGATCTAAAACTTTACTTTATCGTATTAAAATATGGTAAGGTGACAGTCTGAGAAGCTTTTCATCAGTGGACTCACCATTTATATTATAGTGACGCTAAAATGAGTCTTTCCCAAGTAATCTAATGACCTCTACCTCTCGTTGCTATTCTTTATTTAAAGCCTTTTTTCTCGGTGATCCCTCAGCTAAAGAACTGCATAAAATATGAGTTATTCGTTTCATTTTTCTGCTTTTAGCAAGCCCTGCTTTTTATTTATTTATTTTTTTCATATGCAAGGAGAAACCATATGAAGGGTTTGTGTTATGTAGGTGCAATTTGTAAAGCTTAAAACTGAAAACAACACTCCTTTCCTACTCACAGACCACGGCTTTTGATCTAGTGAGAAACATTGGTCCCTGAGCATATCGGCTATGGGCGATGTTATAGTCCAGGCATAGAGCCCAACTTTGATTTACTCAAAACCCACTCTGGTAAGTACAAAAAAGTACCGTTAACGCCCTACCGGGTAATGGAAAATCCACAGAAAATTGGGGAAAAAGAAGAAAAAGTTGCTGTTGTTGGAGATGCGGGGTATCGATCCCCGTACCTCTCGCATGCTAAGCGAGCGCTCTACCATCTGAGCTACATCCCCATTGCTGTTGCGTTCTCTCAGAACTAATTTTAGTAAAGAGATGTAGTGCTGTCGGGCTTATCAACCGGCCTAGTCTGCCGATCATTCACAATGTAGCCAACGTGAAATTTTACAAAGTATCTAGATATAGTATCTCCCCAGTTTTCTCCCACTTTTGCTTTTCGTGCCTCGCCTGCTATAACTGCTTCATGTTTTGCTGTTAGACTAAGGGTGTGTTTGGATAGAAACCAAACCATGGTTTCAGAAGTGCTTTTACGGATTACGAAGTAAATATGTAGAGGAGATTATCTCGTTTTGCGGAAAAGTGCTTCTGAAACCATGGTTTTGGGATACCCAAACAGGCCCTAAAACTCGACTGCATCATTTTGTTTTAACTTGTTTTTTCTATCACCGATCAACAATTATTGTAATTATTCATGTTTCTCTCTCTTCCTGAATATGTCATATCTGCCAATTAATTTCTTTATATATGTCTGTGTTGTGAATATTTCGAGAAAGAGGACAAACGAAATAAAGAAGGAGAGAGGAAAGAGAAAAGTGAGATCTGAATGATACATTGTATTTACCACAAAGCACCGTAATACATGTGAGATATTTATAACTAGTGAATACACTTTGGTAAATCCGTCCCTCTTGACAATTTGACTAATTTGACTAACTAACTTGGTGGATTACAGCTGTCATGAGTAACTACACTAATATCCTCCCCTTAAACTTATGGTGGGGAGACAGGTGGATCCCCAACACTAAGTTTACAACGAAAATAAGAAAAAGCAGAACCAGAAAGTGGCTTGGTTAAAATGTTAGCCACTTGATCAATTGCAGGAATATGAAGAACTTCTAATTGCTTGCGTAAGACTTTCTCACGAACAAAGAAAAGATCCAACTCCATATGCTTTGTCCGATGGTGCAAAATAGGATTGTGAGCTAAGTGAACAGTGCTTAGATTGTCACAGAAGACTAATGGCATCTCTGAACATGTAACACATAACTCCGATAATAAAGATTGAAGCCAAAGAACTTCAGCAACATCTGAGGCAAGACTACGAAATTCTGCTTCTGTGGAAGAACGTGCCACTGTATTTTGCTTCTTAGCACTCCAAGAAATGAGATTCCCTCCAAAATAAACACAATATCCTGAAGTTGAACGCCTGTCATCAACATCAGTTGCCTAGTCTGCGTTTGAAAAGGCTATCAGTTGAAGGGACTGAGGTTTGTGTAGAGTGAGACCATAGGATATGGTCCCTTTAAGGTAACGGAGGATTCGCTTTACCGCTGTCTAGTGATTTTCAGATGGATTTTGCATGTATTGACAAACTTTATTAACACTGAAAGCTATTTCAGGTCTTGTAATGGTGGCATACTGTAAAGCACCAACAATAGACCGATAAAGATGAGGGTCAGCCATTGGAGAGGAATCAGATTGAGAAAGTTTGAAACCAGAGGTCATAGGCGTCTTTATTGGTTTACAATTAGACATACCAGCACGAGTAAGTAGATCCGTGACATACTTTTTTGAGATAGCAAGAGACTACCCATAGAGCCTTTCTGAACCTCAATACCTAGAAAGTAATTCAGATCACCAAGATCTTTCAGAGCAAATTCATCATTAAGTTGGGACTTGAGTTTCTGAATTAGTGTGGAGGAGCTACCAGCAATGATAATATCATCCACTGAGAGCAATTAAGTGTGAATTTGAGACTGAGATCTAATATTCGAGGATTACTCGGTGAAGTGATTTCCTCCATGGCTCTGATACCATGTGAATATTTAGAGAAAGAGGACAAACGAAATAAAGAAGGAGAGAGGAAAGAGAAAAGTGAGATTTGAATGATACATTGTATTTACCACAAAGCACCGTAATACATGTGAGATATTTATAACTAGTGAATACACTCTGGTAAATCCCTCCC